CTTTGACGCATTTTTGANAGGGTAATTTAGTTTTTACTTATTCTTATAGGTAACATTTGATGTTTGGTCAGCTACTATTCTTCTATATGGTGCCCAGTTGCATAAACTGGTGGTTGAAACAAGGAGTAGATTCGAGTTTTTAATGAACGAATTGCTGTTTATAAGGAATTTTTTGTTCAAAGTTGGTATCAATGTCCAATTTTCGCGATAGACAATACGATTGGACTCCGCCAATGTTCTGGCGCCTTTCATTCAGCGAATAAGGCTTATTTTTGACCTAAAGTTAATTAAGAAACAAAGACATGTCCAACTAATAAACATCGGGACGCATTATTATTTCTACGGTATTGCCATTATTTAAACAGCCAGTGTTCATTTTTTTTAGCGAGACTGCACGCACTCACTTAAGTGTTTGTCTTGATGCGATGCCGAAGACTGGTAGTGCGGGTGAATGTATGGAGAACATGGAAGTGCCTATTTTGCGAATTTTTTAATATTTAACAAGCCTTTAACTAAATAAACCTTGACAATTACCCTAAACTGCAAGTTTTGTTACAATCTTCGCGAATTAGGAAATCATTTATTAACCGCATTGAATTTATGGCATCATGTTGGCACTCCATTGGCGCAGTCAAATTGATTGTAGCGTGAACACTTCAAATCCACCATTGATTTCCATAGTCGGAGAAGTAACGGTGAGGGCGTGAGGTAGACAGGCGTCTGCTGGCGCGCTAAACAGCATACGTGGCTGCAGCTCATGTGCTCCAATGTGTCCGTTTCTCTGCGCGTTGATTCTGAATCAATGCAATGCCTGGGGAGAGAGGGAGCGAGCGAGAAAGTGCTGCGCAAGAGAATCATTCTCTCCTATCGTTCCAAGCGCACGCGTACAAGCCTCCAATGTCCACGTGCTCTCCTGGTTGCCGTCATCGTGGCTAGCGATATGAGTAGAGACCGGGTAAATCCCATCACCTATTTGGTGCGCCGGCTATCGAAGACCCTCTCACTCAACCGTGGCTCGATTACTAATGCCGACTTGAAGGACCTCGAGGAGTATGTTCATCATCCCCATGTTCGCCTTCCCTCTGCCACATGCGAGCGCACAAGCCGATCAATTGACAGATCTTGGAAGGGCGGTATTCCGGCCAGATCAGCCAGTGCCTGTCCTGCGCCTCTCGCCACAGCAGATTGTTTCGACATCACCGATGTGAGCGATGGGGAGATAGGATCAAAGGATCAACTATCAGATAATAAGCCAGAAGCTGAAAGTGAGGATGGCTCTGTGACGCCGATTTCATACTCGGATAGTGAGGAGGCACAATCTGTGGACAAACCTGAGGAGGAACCAGTTTTTACGTACTCTGGGGCTCCAACAGATCAAATATATGATTTTAGCTACCCAGAGGTTCTGCGAGATGAGAGTGGAACTAGTTCAGTTTCAACCATCCACAAAAGCGACTCTTTGTTGAGTTCAAATTCAATAGATGCGGGTTACAGTGAGCTAAGTTCTTCGGAAGGAGAAGTCGAAAAGGTTGGACAGGAGGAGGCCGAAGTTCCAGAAGGTCAGTCTACTGAGGCATGTGAAGAGGATGATGCCAACGAGGAGAGGCCCTACAGAGGGGTTTATCAAGAGAGCTATGAAGACTATAACTATCCTCGGTTTGAAGTGCAACATGATCCACAGCAGGACCCATTTCATGAGGCGACACTTATTGCTGAAAGTCAAAAGCAGCTCTCACATCCTTACCACCTTTCCATGAGTACATCCCCGCCTGCAATACTGGTTACATCACCATCAAATCACGATATAACCCAAAAATCACCGAGCAGACCCCCACTCCCAATTACCAAACCAGTTCCACCACCAGTGCCGCCTCCTCCCAAGAAAGTGTCGCATCACCCGGAACCCGCGCGACCGCCACCGCCAAGGCCGTCATCGAAACCGGAATCATTAACTTCGGAGGCCCAGCCAAGCCCAGCACGAAAGAAGAAGCACAAGATATTCGGAATTAACATTGGTAAGTGCATTTAAAATGATATTGTATCGACGTGTGGAATTTTCCCTTGATCTGTCATTCGTCTGATTTGATAAGACATCTGAGCTTGAGAAAAATTAGCTCAAAAATGGTTTTTCACTCGGCACAATTTATATTTCCAGAAAAATTCTTTATCTCTGTTGGTCCATACCACATAAACTCCTAATAAATTTCTACATCGATCATTACTTCACACTTTAAGCGTAAAAGGTAAGATTTACCTAAAAGTTAATGGAATTTATAAAATATGGGTAAATCTATTCCAAAATTCATGCTTTGGCCGGTTCGTGTATTTCGAAAGTAAGCCCGCTAAATGAAAGCGTGGCAGTCAGTGATGGTAAAGGTTTCGTTTTTAAAGCATGAAAGACATAAAATCAAGGTAAGCGCGTTCAGTACGGCAATCTCTTTCCGAATTACTGTCTAATTAGAGCGATTACTGTTTAAATCAGGAACTCAAATACGGGGTATTTTATCAAGCAGATAAATCAAACAAACTTCTGGAAACACCATCTACTTATCCCTGTTAATATGTCGCACCCGGCTATTTAATTTTTAAAAAGGTTGGTTTCTTTGTAACACTGCTTTCCTAGGAACCATCAAGAGAGTAAAATATCCTTCCTGTACTGATCCTGAATTTGGAAGCCAGAAAATTTATCAACCATTTATTCTACAAAGTAACGAACACTTTAGAAGTTTGTGATAGTGACCTAAAAGCAGAAACTATTTTTTTAAGGTAAACTTTGTGGTTTAATTGATAATTTGCTGAGGCGCACTACACCAGTGACTTTTCTGATGCAAAAAATTCATATTTGATAATTTTGAAGAAGACCACAAAAATCGTTTGATGATGTACGGGAGCGACAGTTAAGATTCCTTTTAGAAATTGAGATAAAAGGAAGCCTTGAAGCAAACTCCTCAGATCACCTGTCTCATTTATCAGCAAAATTGTAGGAAATTTTAAATATTATTCTCCGATGGCATCACTGAATTCTAAAGTTACGAAGCGTATAACCGCAACTTAAACTAACTTCAAATGGTTCAAGTCGCGAGGTCTTGAACGTATCATCTACAGTTGATCCGCAACCTTTGCACACATAATTCCGGCCCCCGCTGGCCCGCCCCAAGTGGCGCAGAGCACCAACAGGAAGCAGTTGTTGCCATGGCTCTTGAGACCCGTCTTACGGAGTGTATACAAAAAGGGTTCACCAGGCTTGGGGTCTTCAATGCCTTAGCAAAGCCACTTAAGCTGCAAACACCTCTTGGTACTGAAACACGTTTTAAATTGATGAGTCGAAATAGCCCACCTTGGAGATGGGTAAATGCCATGAAATAATAGAGCGATCTTGCTCTGCTTCAAATATATGTCATTTAACTGTTTTTTTGGGAGAAATGTAGGAAGTCACTTGGTTTTAGGTGTTAGCAACCAGCTGCACAAGACGAGGGTGGGTCAACATCCACGACGTTTTCATTATTCATATCGTTTCGATTAGGAACCTCTTTTAGTCGCGTGTCATTATGTTGTTACAGCCGTGAGTTTGAGAAAATAAAATATGAACCTTAAATTACAACTAGTCTAGACCGTTTAAGGTAACTGCATACCGATGGAACTCAAAAACTCTTCTTAAATAAGTGTGATAACTACAATTTTTGAAATGAACCAAAGTACCGCTTCACTGGTCGATTTTTAGGGTAGTCAACATCGTTTTATTGCATATAATAATGTAAATAAGAATTGCTTATTCGCATTTCTTTATGAAATCATTTCATGGTTGAATACCCGTGTATTTGTCGTGAAATAATTGTATAATCGCAGAAGAAACCTGGTTGTTATTTCGTCAAACAAGTTGAAACTACTGTAAATGCTTCCGGCTCAGAAATATATCCCTCTAGCCAAAGCCTAGCACAAATTTTATAAGCACTTTGAGCCAATATTTTTGTCAAATAAGTATTCCATCAGCACCACTGCTATTAGATGCTTAGTTGTGTACTTAGTTCAAGTTTTAAATCCGCCATCTTATTATATCTTAAGAAATTTTAGGTGTCTTAAAACTTTTTACTAAGCTTAGCTGTTTTTTATTTAAAATTGACACAAAATAAGATATTGCAAGTATATTATAGCCTGAGTCCCATTGTGGAATCGCTACGTCGCATACATTCTGCATTTGGTGGCGATCAACTCTCCGAAATGAAAGTGATTCTGCGTGTCCATCATTTTCCATCCCGCTTCAGTAGCTGATTAAAAATATAGTACATGCAATTTTTTAACAATAGACTCAAGTGGAATTATACGTGTTTAGCTCCCGAATTCCATAACTGTGTCGGCACACCATAGCCATGTTAGACCTCAGCCTCTGAGGCTCATAGTTAGCGCCGTCCGCCCCCCGTCTCACTTTACGGCCACATGCCCACTTAGAAGAGCCTCGCTTCCACCATCTTCATTTGGCCGCAGCGCAAGTAGTTGCTTTGCTCTCCGTGGCCATTGGTAATGCCAAAATGCACGCACCGCGCACGCGCCCGCAAGAAGGCGCGCACGGCGGACGAGGTGGGTCGATAGCGCGCGGACGAGTACGCGTAGGCGAAAGTTTAGCCACACTGCTTCGCCTCCCCTGCCTCTTAAAGGAAAGTCAGCTCGCACGGATTCCCCACGCTCCTTTTGGATAGAGCAGGCTCACTAACTCACTGACAAATCCACTATCAGTAACGGTGCGTTTTGTTCCATGTTGCGGGCATTAAATAACCATTTTTCTCTCATATTCATTGTTAGATCACATACTACGCGATTCCTTTGCACTAGATAGATATGTTGATCAATCAAATCTACTCAATAATTAAGATGGACGGGAATTCGAAACACTATTGTAAAAAATCCCACGATGTAAAAAGCAAATTAGGTTATTTATGATTCTCATCACCCTGAATAGGAAGATTTTTGGGTCTGTGGGTGGCTTTATACTTTCAACCTCGATAAGGTAGAGAAATTAAAATAAAACTGGATCAAGGATTCAAAGGTATTTAAAAGGTTTGACTTCCATTTCTCGACTTTTAAGTTCATTTATTTAGAGGGTTATGATGCACAAATTTTCTGACCTTAATCCGCGTAAAGCGAGGATCGCTTAGATATTCACGACTAAAATTTCGCGCTTGTGCAAACCGTGTGGCCACCAGTGGGACGGTGTCGTGCCCTTATTCAAGCCATTTCGATCTTGCCTGTGTAGTGGTACTGGAAGTAGTGAAATTGTTAACCTTCCACGATACAAACGGCCATATAATAAGCGCGATTTCATTTTGATTGAGTTATTATTCAATAAAGGATACCAATTTCCCATGGAATTATGAGAAACACTCGACTATAAGGCAAAAAAAACTACGTGTATCCATATTGCACTCCAAGCTTAACGAACTATCCGAAACGAAAGTCGTGCGAAAAATTCGATGAAGTCTTTTGCAACATATATATTTTAATGTGCTGAGGTAAATATTTTGTGAATTGTGATATCCTTACAAGGCATTTATTTTGAAGGCAAAAATACCTAGAATGCTGGAGCTGTGGACTTTTCACATTCTATACAACTTTGCATAAGATTTGGAGATTAAGTACGGTACGGTCTTCTTTCTTTTTCGTCGCAGTGGTTCAAAATGCTGACGATTATCATGTAAACTCGACAGTAATAGTATTTTCGACGATCTGGTTTTCGTTGCGCCTTTAACTTTACCCCAAAACTAGTCAGGTGTAAGTTGCTTCTGTCAAGTAAAGTGAATTGCTCAGTTTGCGATAGTAAAACACCCTTAGTAGAGCCAAATTGTTTTTTATCAAAATTGTTTTGAAAGAGGGGCAATGGAACACTTCGTGTGTTTTCGCCCATTGTCGTCTTCTAGGCGCTACAACTTTGTCGTCAACTTGTGATTTGACTTAGTGCATGCGTGGAGTTTAATTGGTGCAGAAAAATTCTCCAAGCAGCTCGCTTGATGGGAGGCGAGACAGATTTTCCTCCTACACTTGTGCAAGGTCAATTAATGTGTGGAGTGTTAAGCACGCAAATCTGCTTTTATGACCATGACACTTTGGAAGAGGAAAGAGGAGGATAAAGATCTTATAGTCGACTGAACGGGTTTGAAAAATTTGTTCGTTTGTTGCCCGATTGCAAATTTTGTATCTGTTGTACTAAATAGACAAAGCATTGTGTTCAGAACGTGTGGAATAAAACTGGACTTAAAGTGTTTGAATTCAAACGACTTGTTTTTTTACGGGCAAAAAATATTGCAGTTCAACTTATCCAAATAGTGATTTTTCCATTTATAAACAAAAATTTGGATTTGAATCAACCACTCTAATTTACTTTTTAATCATTTCTGCTTATTAGTAGTGTAGGTTTCTTTCACCGGAATCCAAACCTGTGAAAATTAAATGTATGTTCGTAGATGTGGAGTAGTTCTATAACTTACAACCAGACTTACTACGTACCATGTTCTGCGCTATGATTTTGGTCCCCAGTCATGACTACAGATATCTGCACCCATTTATAATTCCTTGTAAAATTTTTTAATGTCAAATTTTCAATTCAGATAAACACAATTAAGTGAAAAGATGGCGTCAATATGTGTATCTCATGTTAGACAGTTGTCTGTCATTTTAACAGCTGTCATTCATTATCAACTCTCTATTGTTAAGACCTTACTCTCACATGCCGAACCAACGCTACGCCCCACAGGGGTACACTTTTCCCAAATCTGAACAAGTTGAATGGTCGTCAAGTTCACGAAACATGAAAATATTTCATTTCTAAATAGACCTATGGATGTAGTGTATCACGTCATGAAGGAAATCAAAAGACCAACATTAACTTTCCATCCCGCTCCATGTTTCTCTTTAAATGCGGAAGCTGATTGTGATTAAGTACACCGAGTAATAAAATGCGACTACTCCCAATGATGGCAATGTTAGTTGTTCCAACTCTCACACATCTCCGTACGTTTCATTTACCTCATCCACCTTTGACTGTACGTAGCATCATTAAAACCTGACAGAAATCCATGTTAGCGGTCTTCCTTTTAATCGCGTGAATTCATTTTCCTACTAACTAAATAATCAGGATAGGATTAAAATAAGTACGAACCTCGCATTAAATGGGCTTGTGTCTACTTTAATCCTATGGCATAAGTCTTAGAATGTCTATGAAAGGCATTATGTGCTAAAATCTTCAAAAAGCGCCATAAAATTTTAAGCAGTCGTTGACAGACTATTCCCAGTCTCCTATATCGCTTTGAGATGTTTCATTAGCTTCTCCAAAAATTATGAAGAAATATTTAATCATTAAACCAACAGCAAAAAAGCATCACTGTGAAATTAGTATAATGTATAATGCAATGTATAATGTATAAATTAGTATAATGTTTGAATGCACAAATATAATGGGATAAAAGGTACAAAATTACAAATTTGCTGTCTTAATAAGGCACAAAGTGCTTTGTAAATTAGGCCCTCTACCCTCCGATCCGGACCCAAGCTTCCCATTCGAAAGTCACTTTGAGAAGAAACGAATAGTCCCCAATCCAAAAAAGGCACTTCAAAATATAATTGGCGGAGAAAAACGGAAGCAACGCCTCAAACGAAAGGAGGAGGCCGAAGTTGAGCGGATCATCAAGTCGAAGCCTGTAAGGGCACCAGCAAAGGAGTCCGAAGAAGACAAATCCTCCACAAAAGGCTACCTCTCGGATTGGCGTGAATTTCAGGCTCGTATCGAAGCTAAAGTCAGCGACACCGCCTCGAGACTTGAGTCCCTAAAGTGGGCTACGGAGAGCACTGACGATACGAGGAAGAGTTTTTCCAGCAGTTGGGCTAATTTTGAGGCGCATCAAGAACCGCAAGTTGAAGTCAATTGGGCAAAATTTGAGTCGAAAGAAGATTCAAACGAGACCACCAGTCAAGAAGGTTCTTCGGAAAATTTAGTTGAAGAAGGGCTCTCTGATTTGAAAATCGGCGTTTCGGGTAAGGAGAACGATTGGGCTGCCTTTGACGATCTACGAAGAAGGGACCGCCCTCCTCAGGAAGACAAGAGAGATTTCGTCACATCTTCAAATAGTGATTGGGCGTCAGTAGCAGAATCTGCACAAACGGAAAGTGGGGATAACTGGGCCAACATTCGCCACTCAAACTTCCCAAATTCTGACCATTCGGTTCCTGAAGTTCCCTCAAATAACAACTGGGAGGATTTTTTTTCGTCCAAAATGAATAAAAGCCCCGAGTCACCTCCAAATCAATGTTCAGCTCAGGACTCGCAGATGAGTACTTTGAATCACTTCGAGGCTGAAGGCACAATATATCAATCCAACAGTTCGATATCTTCCTCCGAACAGTATTTGCCTCAAATCGAAGATAATTCGGAAGGTAAACGTGGCTTTTCTGTACAAAATAAATCGGCTGAAGAAATGAGCAGTACCAAACAGGAAACAGATACCACTACAGGCGATGTCGAAAGCACTTTGAACAGTGAACAGATAGAGGAAAGATCTAATTCATCTAAGGGTACACCAAGCTCCCAATCGTCTTCACTCGATCGGGAATCGTCCGTGCCTAATCAAATTCAGTACTATGGATACGACGATCCTTCACAAGTGACAACTGAAATAAACCAAACATCACTTGAAAAACCCACAATAATAGAAGAACCATCTCTCTCATCTTTTTCAATAGATCAAGAAAATCTAAAAGACTACCACTATGATAATCAAAGCGGTTCGGATATTCTCACGGACAAGCAGCTACAGCCACCACAATACGGTGACTCCTATGGATATGATGAGGTGGATGTCGATGAGGCATCGTTACCAGAAGATAGCGGTGTGGCCCAGTCGGATGTGCAGGAATTCGTTTCTGATATTATCAGTACGGCTGAATCTGAGGTAATTGAGAAAATTCCTCCTGAGATTGTGGACCTCTACACAAACAAGTCAAAATCCAAATCTCGGGCAGTCAGACAGTGTACACTAACGGAAAACAATCCCTTTCGCCGGTCCTTGAGAACGGAAAATTCCGAAAACGTCGACCAAGAACTCAATGCAGAACAGCTAGCAATGGAAGACGAAAAGACTACTCTTGCCACGGTGGCGCTCTTCAGTCAATCAGTGCATGATGAAGACGAGGAGATGGAAGAAAGACCTGAGGACTATGAAATCGAAGAAAGACCGGAAACGCCAACAAATCAAAACTTTGATCCGTTTCAAACAATATATCCTGTTTCAGAAAAAGATAGCTCAAGCGATGTTGAGGAAGAAAAATCAAGTCATGCAGTACCTCAGGTTCCAATTAGGAAAAAGGACGACAACAATCAAAAGACTCATGAGGAGACGATGATTTTCCCCATACTTCCAGCTCCTCCAAAAACTGAAGCACCAGCATATGCAGATGATCTTGCTGCAAGCGATACAGACGACGAGTTTGGGAAAGGGATTGACGGAAAAACTGACAATCTGAGGGACTTGGCCATAAACAGTTCAACGCCAGTAGGTTGGGAGACCTTTACCTCGGATAACAATCCTGCAGACAATATAAATGCGACAGATGATGAGTTAAATAAGGCATTTGAGGTTGATTGGTCGAAGCCACCTGTTCCAACAGCATCTATACCTGAACCACCACAACCAGAAACCCCTGATCCTGATTTGGAAATTCCGTTTAATCCACCTGCCCCCACGAATCAGGTGTGGAGATTATGGATCAGATACCCAGAGAAAAAAAAGAAAGTGAAGCAAATGACGAAATACACGACTGATCGCAGTTGGAAGGAGATCGCTGTCACATTATCCGATGATCGAGGTCGTTGTGAGGTTAATTTGCACGATATTGACCCAAACGACAAGGATAATGTCAAAGAGCCCTACCGAACGCTACGCATGGAACCCTATATGCAGTTGTCGCGATGTAAGCTTCAACAATACGACAAATACGGAAAGCTGAACATATTCAAGATAAACCACGTCTCTTATCGAGAACTACCAGGAATGCGTCCTGAAAAGTTCTCTATTAAAACATTTCAAAATTTAATCTCCCACAAGCCAAAACAGAATGTAACCCTTGATCACATTCCCGTGTACACTGAAATTCTCAAATTCGGTTCAATGGACAGAACCCTGATGAGAAGTCTAATGTCAGTTTTGGAAGATTCTCTAATGCAAATTCCAGCTCATAAAGACGAGGGTCTTAATTATACACATGAAGAAGTTTGTTGCTATGTGGTCGATGAATACGTTGGAAGAGTCTCAGTTGCTGGCAGTATCGAAGACCAGAAGGCACGAACGAGAATATTTTGCAGTGCATTTGTGAATGGAGGACCACATATTGTATTGGGCATCAATGACAAGTGGCGTTTCGGAAGGGAAATTGTACGGCGATCAGATATTTTGCCAGTGATGCATGACGAATGGATAACGGTTTGGAAACCGGAGTTTCACTCCTGCCTTGAAATGGGTGATTACGAAAACGATCACTTGCTGAAGTTTTACCCACTTGATGGATGCAAGTTTGAGCTCATGAGATTTCGTGTCAGCCTTCGACATAATCGAGAGCTTCCAATGCAAGTTCATTGCTCTTACTCGATAGATGATCGAAAAATATCAATGCGGTGTGAGCTACTTGTGCCTGGCTACTTCACAGCCACGGGAAGATCAGAAGCTATTCCTTGCGAAGACGTGGAGATTCGGATACCTGTGCCTGAGGAATGGATATATCACTTCAGATTTGAGAAGCACCACAAGATGGGCTCAGTGCATTCAACACTGAGAAAACCAGGTCGAATAAAGGGGCTGGAAAGAATCACACAAATGGCACAAAGTCTGCTGCCGCCAAGTTTACTTGAAGCCAGCATTGGATCAGCTAAGTACGAGAATCTATTTAAGGCTATCGTTTGGCGCATCCCTAGAGTACCAGAGAAAAATGAAGGTGAGTGGGTAGTCATATATTAAACGGATTATGCGAGTTTGGTATTGTTGGTATTTCTAACGGGAAAAGGAGTTGAACGCTCAGAGAGACATGCACAATGTTTAGGCTATAAAATTGGGAAAACTATACCTTGGGAGACATCATTTTTATTATCTGCGGATAAAGTTAGTTAAGAAAGAAAAGTCCGTTTGTGTTTTAAAACTCTGTTGCTAAAATTAATGGCGAGTTGTTCGTATGACCTGCCACCAAAGGCCATCACAGCTAACTTACTCGAATTTGGTAGAGGATGGCCTCAAAAGTGGTTAGTCAGCTTAGAAGCGTTTATTCTGAAATTTAATGTTATTTTCACAGGGTCTAATTCGGTAAATTCTTGTGACTGTAGGTGGTGGTTGTGGTTGTGCGCGAGCAGGGAAGATGCGCATAGAGAAGTTGGCCAAACGACTGGCAGCCCAAATTTGCGTAGGAAGTGGCGGTGGAAAATGCATGATTCGCCTACCAACGTAAAGGAAAATATATCAATTTTTAGTGACCCTTATTGTTCATTGAAACCGGCCTGATGGTCATAAAATACCTGTTTGAGGTAGTATATCTTGTTAATTCTTCCCTGACGCTTACACTTTTCGCATATTAGAGCGAATCAAGTGATTTCAAACACGTAAGAAATATGACAGTACACAAAATATTCGGACTTATAGCCATACTATAACTTCAAGTTGATGTATAGCTCTTGACCCTTTCCTAAAGGCAAAAAAGTGTCAACACCCGAGGAGAGTATGTGTATATTCGACATCCAGAAGGGATCGGGGCTACAGACATGGCCCGGAGGCCAGCCCACTTGGTCTTCATGCGTACTCGTGGTTAGTCGTAGGAACAGTGGCCTAAAAGCAGATTGAACAATAGCTCCGAGAGGGTAGTGCTTCACTTCTACCCCTCCTTGCCAAGTTCTTACTTCAGAGCTGCTAAACCGTATCTATCCAAATTCTATCCAGCTAGTGGAGAAATGCAGAAAGTGTCGCATTTTTGCGTAATTGATATCTTCATATAGCTCTATAACGAAACGATTCCAGTTAGTTTACGGCTAGTGTCCCCCTCCGTTGTTAGTAGCTTTCCTGCAAAGGATGGCACTGGGGTAGTTGCCGAAACTGCACTTCATTTTCAGCAAATCTGTTGTTAATCATCACGGATTCTTCCATCTGCAGCACATGCACTTCTCCCGCTCCGGTAAGGTTGATCCCCCAGCAGCAGAAACTAGGACAGACGTCCTTTTAAGATCAGCTCGATTTCCATTGCCACCAGTGTAGCGCCCAAGACTTCCCTGAAGGCGAATGAGGGCATAATACTCAGCCAGAACATATATACTTGACATGCAGGAGGGCTGAGACTACTGGCATGGCTTGGAGGCCTGCTCATGAGGCATAGGTACCAGAGCAGAGCACCTAAGTGGTCTCTTTATCAAAAACCTAGAGTTAAGCAAGTAACGAATTACAGTTGTTTCGTTCTTAAAATTATATGATCAGTCTTCTCTTTATTTTTCTACAGCTTCTTACCGACCTCACCTTCTGACATGCAATCTTCATCTAAATGCTCATGACACCGTCCCAGAATGGGATGCTCTTGTAAAGGACGTTCAGATCGAATTCAGCATGCCATCAAGCACTGTTTCCGGGACAACTGTTCGATCCATATCAGTGGAAACGACGGGCGTTGCCGAGAAGTTCGTGAAGTACACAGCCAAGTATCGCCTCACCAAAGCGATTGAGTACCAGTTAGGGCATAGGAAAGACAAAGTGCTGAAGAGTATTTTGGATGCAGAAACCGACGAGCCAACGTCACCTTCGGATTCTGAGTCGGAGAGAGACGAGGAGACTGCAGGTGTTAAGGTGCCTCAAGACTCGAAGTGTAGAACAGAAGGATCTGGAGTTGCGATTGACAACCTCCTTGACGAGGGTCTGGACGAGACGGCCCTATCCCAATCACCAGTCACAGTTCAATCAGGTGCCGCGCAATCTGAAGAACTGTTCGACATCTTTGGCTGAACTCACGTGCATTACCCGACCATCCTCTCATTTCTTACTGTATTACCCCAAACATCCGTTTAAGTGAGCCTAGCTGGCCCATATTTCGTAGTATTTGTATGTGTAATTGCAAGCCAGGTGTTTCGAAGAATTTGGGCATTTATTTTGAAATGTATTTGCTTTCTTTGGGGCAGTTTGCTTGTTTACTCATTCTCAAGTGGTAGGTTTGTCTCCCAACACAGCTTGGCGAAACCAATCACTTTAAGGATCCTAGATTACCTCTATTAATAGATAGTACAAACGTTCACAAAACTTTAATCAACATATTCACTTATGCCTAACTTCACAATAATGCCTGTAAAATTACCACTTCACTCCATCTTTAACATTCATCTCAAATACACACAGACAACGAAATGCCCATTTAGGATGGCCCAAAGCCTTCCCTCTGCTGGATCCAACAAACAACGTCCAAAAATGTGCACCATAGCAATTCAACCCATACACATACATCGCCTCATCCAAACACATAACCGTCACTTTATATGCATACATGTAAATACCGCATGCGGTAAGATAGTACTATTACTCTAACCGGATGACAGAAACTTATTACTAAGCAAGGTAATTCCACGAACCCATAATTCAGAAATAAAAAGAAGACACAGTAAATGACTGCTAAACCATCTTTGTGCACCAATAATGGCGTAGAAAAAGAACGACCCAACAACCAAGACATATAATCAAGGAGAGGGGCATAGGTCAACACAGATGGATTCAACAATCCTGTACAGAGGAGGCCAATGCATTGGAAGACAGAGGAGGCCAATGCATTGGAAGACAGAGGAGGCAAGAGGACCGAAGCATCAAACCTGATGATTACAAGGGGGTGTAAGACAGTGAAATCCTAACTTGTCTGCTTTATCATCATTTCCCTTAATTGAGCAAAATTCTGGATACTCGTTGCGAACCTAAAACAAGGAAATGATAATTACAACCAGAGCTTGAGAGTTAAGCCTCCAACGAGCCAATGGTGGTGAAATTTGAAAAGTATAAATCTTGCAAACAAAATGCACTCATAATTTTCAAATTGCAAGGCTCAAATTAAAATCAGATTGGAAGCTTATCGAATACAGAAGGCCACACTCACTTTGCGAAACCATTAAAAAGTGATACAATTTCAGATCGCCGGAGTTGGTTATTTGGTCGCATCTGGGCAAAACAGCATTTGGAGTTATCGAAGAGGTTATCATTGAAAAGCACCTTCAGGGCGGTGCCTATACCCTGTATCTAAAACCCAAATATCCAATCACCGTCAGTACTAAAAGCAAGATAAATTTAACAACAAAAGCAGCAATTTGAAAGGGCGTATCAGATACCTGCTCCAGTGGATCAAGTCAATACCCTTCAGTTTCACTTAGCTGGCGTTTTCAAGTGTACAGAAATGATTATTCATATTAATGTAATAAATGCTCTTATGTACTTTAATACGCATGAATGTAAGAGCGCTAGAGTCCCTCCAGACGCCAAAGCCCCAGCTTACAATGACAACCGTGATTAACGAAATGGTTCACAGGTTAGCGGATAACAGCTAAGGGGCTAACGCGGACGATGCCACTGTACGCGACTTACCATTGCTGTTGGCAAATGGACATACAAAATAAAAAAAGGCCATAGAAGAGGAATTCACAAGAATTTTTACACTAGAAAATGGGCATCCATTCCTTGGAGAGATGAAAACTTCTGAATTCTACGTATCTTAAAACGCTCAGCCACATCCCCAGTTGAAATAACTGGCAAGTAGACTGATCAACTCGGTCATGAATCTTGGGGTATTGAATCTCCAATTTCCAGACATTTTGATCCCATTTACACAATAATAGCAAAAGCAATATATCTGATTGAAACGCATTAGACAACTGAAGGGCACCAAGAGATGTGGTTCGCATACTCAGTACTAAACCATCATCGCCAACATAGAATTACGCTCGCAGATCTCACACATTTGCAGAGAAATACACTCCACTTTTGACTTCAGCCTTTCACAAACCCAGCTTAGAAGCAGACATCAAGTAGTAAGAAATGGTATTGGCGATACTAACCTGTAATTTTCCCCACAGCCTGCATTTATCACAGCCCACGCAATCCATGATTCGACTGATGTTTAGAAAACGCAAGCGGAATTCTTCTTTTAAGTCAAGAATTTCTTTTCCCGATTCATGGAAAAGTTGTGATTCGTCAAAGACACCATTATGATCCCTGTGATTGAAAACATAACAACTATGTTGGTGATGTGTGATGTACTAGATGTGGTACGTTAATTATTAAACATGAGTGAGCAAAGGAAGGGCAGGCCATTCATTGGACGTACTTTGAAGTAAGCAAGACATTATTGACACCAGTTTTATCAAGACATGGGATATTATCAATCGTACAGAACCATAAAAATTAGCGTAGTAAACAATATAATAACACAAGGGAACGGGCACACTTCAAAAAAGCCAAATGACCGAAACGATAAGGTTCAACGATCAGATATACGGTGAGATATGAAAATGCTTTAAATAACTATATGGCAGGCTGCTGCCAGGATTGGCAATAATGACCTACTCGATGTCACTAAGAAAATCTAGCACCATGCTCCTGGTCTGGGTGTCGATAGCCGTGTCACCGGTGTAGAAGGCTTGCTGCCTGAGGTAGGGCGCCACTTTGGCGATAGCACGCATCTCTACTACATAGGCGAGAAATAGGTTGCGCAGACGCCCAAGGGACTCAGGCACTAGGGCTGGGTGAAAACGGCGCACAAACTCCTCCACACTTGGGCCCCAGACGTTCTCCTTAGGCAGACTGAAGAAACTGGAGGCGCCCTTAAAATCTGCAGCCAGTTAGACAGGTCAATGGGTTAATACGACATCGGAGCAGTGCCGCTGTATCTTGGCATTTAGTTTACCAGAGGAATGTTTCACGTGATTTGAAAGAAGCACCCAGCAGAGCCATTTAGCTGACTTGATTAATCTCAGATGAGAATTAGGTATTGCCTATACCAGTCCAAATAAATCACGGCTCTTACTTAATGGGAAGTAGCAAAGATAAACGCGCAACTGGTTACCACGACGAAACCCAGACAAAAGCTACATGTGAATTTTAGAAAGGCTGCCGTAGATCTGATTCTAGAAAAATAACACGAATTATAAGAATTTAATTGGTTATACAACACAAGCTTCTACCTATGAGATCTAAAGGTGTAGGTCCCTTAAAATGTGAAATTATGATATCCCAATGGCAGATGAAAATTCTTCGACAAACGCGCCAATTTCAATTCTTGAAAATGAGTAATGCACAAAAGGCCGAACAAACCCGATAAGAGGTGATTATAGCAGAGTTGAAGACTGATACTCGTTTGGAGACCAGAAATGAGTCGGTAGAAAAGACGCTTCTCTTTGCAAGCTTTTGTATCCACTAGAAACATGAAATGCATCCAGTTAGTGCATAGCTCAAGCATGAGATGAATAAATGGGGAAGGAAAATCGGCAAAATAAATGTCGGAGAGGAGTAATCGGCAGTGCCTTAAAGTAGACAAAGAGAAAAGTTACGCTAATTACCACACAGAAAAATTAATTAGGGACATATACCTGGCGAGTAAGGGATACCGTTGAAAACTCGCATGGGGTTGGACCTAAAAGAGAAGACAGCTATTTGTTTTCGTTGAAGTAAAAGCAGTGCGAGTGACCAAATAGTCCAAGCTATGCGTTCCCTACCGAAAACAATTTTCCAGGTAGATTGATTTCCAAATGCGTGCCGATGACTCGCCCTTGTAACCTGTGTATTTCTCCACATTCTTTAATAGATCAACATAAATTGTACCCTGTTCAGACTCATCTAAACGATGGCAATGACAGTAAATGAGACATTTTATTCAACGTACCACCCAATTCACAGAATGGTTTGTCCTCTGCCTCTTTCGTGGACCACTTTCCAATAGTTTTCTGCTGATTTTCACTAAAAAGAAATGTTTATGATAGTACTTACAGAAATACATTACAAGATGCGCTTTTCTCCCAAACAGCGGTCGAGACATTAAAATTATCCGGAAATACTGATGAAGAATGAAACTGCATAAGACAGGGCCTAGGGTATCCGGGATAGTGCACGGATGCAGTAATCAAAATATATCTTCAAAAGGAGTCAACGGGAAAACCATTAGCATGCTAGTTACAAAAGCAAGAAAATTACGTAACAATTTAAGTGAAGTACTCGTACTAACAAAGACTGCGATTACACTGACAGAAATACTGCGTGGGGTCAGTAAAATGGGATAACATATAGAAGGCGCTCCATGGCTAATTGATTCCAAGGGCAGTAAAAAAAGAAACAACACTAGGTCTGAACCCCCAAAAAATTTTCAAGAGTCAATTTGGAGGACGGAAATCTAAGGTGCTGAAAGCGATTCTGTTAAGCTAAGTGATGCACAAAAGCAGTAACTAGGGCATTATTACTCCTGATTTTACCTTATCAATCGATTAGTTCATTGGTGGTGTTTCTAAGCTACGAAATCTACCGATGAAATCTAAGTCTTTTGTGGAAAGAAAAACTCATTCTACAACCAAGAAACTTCACAGATGATAGAAACAATGGGATAAAGTGAGTGCTGAGAACGAAAGTGATAAGATTACCTACCTTTTCTACAGTGGTAAAATATAGCCTTGCGAATTCTTACCACATTAAACAGAACAGAAATGGTCAATAATTGCACTTGCATAAGCAAAGACATACTCAAGAAATGTATCCAGTTGTCCAAGCGTTAATGTCTCCTCCTCCTCATGCAAACATTGCTCTCTATTGAAGCCACTTTCTGAATCTACACGCTAACAAAAAAGTTGAAAATGGAAAGCAATAATGTACAAGATAAATCACGAAGCAAAAATGGATGGCATGAGAAATAAATAGATAAAACAGTTTAAGGAACACTATGCAACTCCAACGGTTAAATCCAATAACTGCTAATGTGGAAAACAATATAATTGTGTTCCAACATTTACCGATTAATACTGGCATAGAGCTAATAACGCAAATCATAAGTATGCCAACAAATCGCTAGTATGGTCGAATCAGTCATATCGTAAGCATAAAATACGTTTACCAAAACCTGATATGTAAAGTGTCCTGACATTGAATTCGGTGCTTTAAATGAATGTCCACATTCAAATATAATGAAAGAGGAATGGGTTATTGACATAAAAAGTAGGAAAAGACAATTGAATAAATAAACAAGCTTGGAAATAGTCAAATCCACAACAAACTGCCACGGCCTTAGGGGAAATAAGCTTGTCATAGCTTGACTCCCGAAGTCCAATTGGAATCTCGGAGATAGAACAATCCTCAACCTGACAATCGCGCAAAACACACCGTCCATCGTCCGGCCAGAATTGGCATTTTTGGTACAAATTAACCTAAATTGAAGCCACTTGTTCAGCACTTGTCGAATAAACACCCAACGTACATGTTATGCGCATCAAACAAGGTGGTTATTAATGGGAGGAAGACAATGACGAAACAGTGAAAAACAAAAATAAAACAAAAAAGAACAAGCATACTATATTTGGAACACCAATAAAAACACACTTGAAAAATGCGAAAGTAGTCACGTTTGATGATTTCCTCCAATTTCGGCAATATGATTTTATTGAGATTTAAAACATCTTCAACTGTAGAATTTGCATCGCCAATTGAGCCTGAAATCTGCAAGATATTGTTATTATTGAAGCACTGCATAGGTTACTCCAGGCCAAGAGGGTTAAGTAGATATTAATAACCAAATCTAAGACTTGAAGAAACTAAAGAAAAACAGAGAACCCAATCACTGGTATTCAGGAGGGCCAAAATATGCTAAGAAACCGAGGTGAACAAACGTTACAAATAAGCAGAATGATACAGAGAGTAAAATTACAGTGATTTCGCATTCGGGTGCCGCATTTGATAGAGTGTTCAGGAAAAACACGAGCGACACTACACGGCCCGCAACCAACATCAATGACGTCATGACAAAGGACCCAAGCAAATCCGAACCTACCGTATTTATAAGAAGGGTCATCGCAATATAATTGGTTAGACGAGGCCTTTTACATACGTGCGACCATGTAAAACAAAAACGAATGAGATGTTAAGATGCATAGAGCGTAAGCTTGTAAAAAATAGCGTGTACAAAAGCATTTGCATTGTAATGTGAATGGATTACCAAAAAGATTGTGCTTTTAGATTTCACAACTTTTGTAATTTACCCAACCATAACTAGCGGTCCTAAGGTTAACATATACGAAAAACAAAAGCACGAAATAGTAAAAAACAGTTTTCAGTTTCAAAAAGAAAGAATACTTTGCTTTATAGGGTGAAAAACGCCCAGGAACTTAACTGATTCTTTTATATGTAAAGAGGTTTTGCGACGTCAAACCAGAAATTGCCCGAGATGTTTTCTGCCATATAATTAGTTGCGCCTAACATTATCTGTGCTACAAATTAGCTTAGTTTTCTAAGTATAACCTGATCGCATGAATATTCCTCCCCATTAGGGAACTTGTGCATATCAAATCCGGCTCGCGATACGATAATGGGTCATTTCCATACGCAACCGGATCTTGCATGCTTTTTCCTTCGCTTCACATTAGCTTTAGTCTATATTAGTGGTGCTTTTATAGATATGAACATAATGCGTGTTAAAAATGCGAAGAGTTGTCCCTCGTTTTAGTCTTCTTAATGCAAATAGGGTGTATGGGCATTTGTTTTTCTGGACAAGTTTGTTAGAACCAAAAGTAGCTCCTTTTTTGTTTGAGCGTAAATTGCACTCACATTGATGTCTTTTTGCAAATCAAGCGTTTGGGGTATTTTTTGTTTAGAACGTTTCATTGTTTTGTTTTAGTCTCTCTGCTTTCTCGGCTCATCTGGCAGTTCCTGTTCAAGCAACATACTAGCTGGTAATTAATGCATTCGTTTTGTCTAGTTTACATTTCTGTCCCCTTGTTTATCGGATGGCCGTATTTTTGTTTATATATGGGTCAAGGTTGATGCAACTGACGTTTGCCGTGATCCGTTATGATTATTTTATTTAGATATAGTATTTTCCAGATTCTTTCATGATCATATTTTGAAACCCTCATGATTAGCCAATGCCCCGATATCCCCCACCTGGGTAAGTAATTATTCATTTTTATGAACATCGAATATCTTTGTTGAATCTGCGACATAAAACTGCCCTTTTAAGATGGTTAGACTACACTCCCCTTGGCACTCGCCTACGAGGAACCTCGCTACTACCCGTTAAGCTTCCTATCCCCAAAGAGTATTCGTACTATATTCCAACAGAGCAGTGGTTCACCGATAACGATCTGCTTAATTACTGCTCTGATATGGGCCGACCCGTCGTCAGCATCATCGACCTCACTTACACCAACTACTATGATCCAAAGGTATTATTTTGCTCGCTTTTTCAAGGTCTAGCTTTTTACGGACCGCGGTATCAAATACTTCAAAGTTTACGTCGAGGGACACGCTATCCCTAATCCTACCACAGTGAAAAGGCAACAGATTCTTTAGCACTTTACATACCTTACACTAGGTTCCTCGAGATTGTGAAGGATGTCGATGACGAGTCACCAGGTACACTGCCTGCATTTAGATGCCCATTTATAGGCGGTGTTATCGCTGTCCATTGCACACATGGAGTCAATCGGACGGGCTATCTAATCTGCCGCTACCTCGTCGATGCACTCGGGTGGGATCCCGATGAGGCTATTGAAGGTACCCAGTAACGTTCACCTTCTTCCATTGATGTTTTCTGCTTTGAAGGGTTCTTGCTTGCCCATGCTTACTTGTACTGCCATGTTTTGGTACAGGTTTGTGAGTGATTTGACCCATTTCCGAAGACACGGTGCTTGCCTAGATCGTATTTCACCACAATGAAGTTGGAGATAACTATTTAATCGTCACTGTTTTAGAGTTCGCACGTGCACGTGGACACCCGATAGAACGCGAGAATTACATTGAGGACCTCCGAAACCACCAGCACTGACGCCGTATGATTCAGACCACACACAAGCATTACAATACAGTACCTCATTTTTTATAAAATGAAGTATCACCAGTGTCAGGCTTATGCTTTTTTAGTCAATGGCCACACATCACCGGAAAGGCGCATTTTATTGAGGGGGCCCAATTTTCTACAAGAATAGTTGGGTTCAAGTCAGGTGTATTCAATTAAATATAAAAATAGTTAAAGTAGGAAGCTCATTACTTGTCTTGGTCAGGTTATGGAACTTCTAGGAGGCGTGAACTGCCATTTGCTAAAAAACGAGGACAACTCTGGTTCTCCGCCGCTCCGCTTTGACCCTTCTATGGGCGAGACTCCGACCTCGGTCTAGAGAGTAGGACACGTAAAGATTCCTGTGTCAATAAATCATTCAGAGTGTTGCGAGTATTGGTAAACCTGACGGCTAAGTACTGCATCAGCGTGTCAAAAGCGGCGGTCGCGTGCTACGCCTGGCGCTTGAATTCATAGTTGCTTGTGCAAGTGGTAAGTGTGGTCGTAGACGAAATAGTTACCTGGACGGCGTCCACCTGCTCGAAACCCACTGTCTGACCATCATAAATGGGTGAGCTTGAAGGTTCGCACCCGCGGTGCTCAATCAACCCCTCGTCTGTAAGACTTTGTTGTTGCTGACCATTTGACAACTGCCTCAGTGGAGTAGGGAGTTCCCCTGTACTCTTCCATAAACTGGGGAGGAGACGCTGCGTCAGTGCTGACGACATGGCACTTTTCTTATGAGGGGTTCGCCTGAAAGTAGAGGCTGAACGGTGCACATGTTCGATGCTGGATTACAAAGGAAGATTAAGTCATACGTGACATACCTTTTGGCCCGTACCGGAGAAGCTCTGTTTGTTGCTTGCTTAAAAACGAACCTACCCGTTGTTGATAGATGAGGAGGAGATACTCGAGAGTTAGAACCTGGACTACCTGCAGGAGCGGGGGGCTGACGTGCAAATATGTTGAATTTTTTGTTTAAAAGCGGTGACACAGAGCCCAATGCTTGGCTAAATCAAACAATATTGTGAACGCATTACAGCGTGGCTACCTCACAAATTCCGGCTCAATGACAGTGGACAGAGATTTTGAGCGTTTGGATTGAAATACGGGACTGCTTGGATTACCACCTGCAGCTCCATAATCGCCTGTTGAAATTGCCGTAGACACAGGAGAAGCAAAATAGGAGTTGGCAGAAGTGATTGGTGTTCCACTGGTTGAAAACGATCTTAACGGTGTTCTCGGAAGAACGTGGCTATCCTCAGAAGCGTAGGAGGCCAGTATGCCTACCAAATTGAATATGGGCAAACAACTCATCAAACGCGATGACTTTGGTACGGCACCACATCGGTGGCATAATGAGGGGAAAAAGTATAGGTTCATTCAATTCTGAAATATTTAAAGACAAAGCCAATGTCCTACAAAGACTAGAATATTTCAAAATTACAAAACAAAAGGGGAACAATGACAAATGGATTCCAATATGATCGATATTGTTGCTGGATACACAAATCTAAAACCAAAGATTTACTAAAAATGGAGAGTTAATAAATGCGAAGAAGTGAACATTAACAGCTGAAGACTTTAAAGAATCATCACGCATCGCACAGGTGCTTACGATACAACTAGGATTTATGAGAATAGCACCATGGGTGATTTCATGTAGAGTTTGATATCACTGTCCCGTTCGAATGCAAAAGTACTATACTAGCCAACTATTACAGTCAGGGATGAAAATTACAGGATACCTTGAATTTTAGTGGGACCATAACCGGCGTCCTCATCTAATGGCCTCTTCTGCGCGTTGGTAGTGGCCGATCCAGACGTGAGGACTGAGGGTACGATAACACGATGATTTCGACTAAGACCTTTTCCACTTCTAAGTTTGGGTCGAAACCGTGGTAAATTATCATATTTAGGGAAAATCCCTATATTCACACCCGCCGTTCCTTCTTCCACTCCACCGCTCAGCTGCAGCAAATCTAGTCGCTGCGAGTCGTTAGCATGGTCATCTACCGAAATGCAAAATGGACGAGGTCGAATTCCTGCATCGGTGTAGTAAAGCCACACTAAAAATACGTGGAAAAAGGTCAGAACTATTAGAAACGATCCCAAACCACCCAAATCCATAATATGCTGCAATTATATGTAGCAGAACGCAAGCACTTATGAACCATTTCCCAGGACAATTCGGTCCAAAAGCATCATCGCTTACCATATTAGACAGACAATAAAAGTAACAGGCCATTCTTAGCCTTACCGGGTTCCAATTTATAATTGGTGCTCCATACACTTATGTTCAAACGTTCGCCATCCGGACGACGGGCCCTCTTCAATATCGACTTAAGGGAACTTGCAGCAGCGCAACTAAACTTAGGTATTTCCTGAGGCTCATCAGAATCTGCACTGAGTCCATTGAATAATTTATTCACCTATTACAAATTGAAAGAGACCGAGCTCACACTACCTTGAAATGATCCGGATTGAACGTATCGACTTTTTCACCGGTTTCAAAGTCAACGTTCCCCACAGCAATGGCAAATGCAAGTTCTGAGTCCATCGCGTCCCTGCAAATAGTAAATATGGGAGACTCGGTAAAACATCTACAAACCATAGCCGCCAAAAACATGATTATCCAAAAAAAAAACTACGGGAAAGACATAGCTTACTCTCCAGCATAGGAAAATAATACATCGTCCGACAAATCCGCATTCAAAAGTGCTAACCGTTCCTCCTTGATATCATCAATCGTAGGTTCAGAAAGTCGAAGACGCTTTCGGGTTTTAGGATCAAAAACAACTTGTAATCGAAAGGTGCGTTCTGCACGCATTGCTGCAAGAATGGTGGCTTCATGTAGTCTGTTACCACCAGATTTCCAGCCCTCCACCGAGAACTTCCCGTTGTTAGAAGAGGTCGAACTTAATTTTGGGGTTGAGATGGAAGCTAAGGGTGAAGAGGTGACGCGATCCCTACTGATGCTCGCAGACTGCGAGAGACACACTTCGTTAAGGGATTGAATGGGCTGACAGGCGTTTCCAGCAAGATTATAAAAATTCCCAAGGTTGGAAAGAAGGTATCGAAAATCCGTAGTGCGACACTGACGCATTATCTAAAAGATAATCGAAAGCTTCACATAGAACAAAACTCGACAAAGACAACAGAAGTGTCTTGTGTTCGTCTAGTAACGTGACATCGATAAGGAAGACAAAGGTATTGGAAACGCCTTAAAAAGGCATATGTATAACTCAAGCAATGGACAAAACACCTTAGCAGCAGTAGCTAGACCGATTCTGGGAATGCCTGGAAAGTAGTCGCATCCAGAAAGTATGCCCATAAAACGCAGATTCGCAGGGGAAAAATCTTGTGACGCTATGCCGCAGCATTGTTCGCCAATGCCTGCGCTCCATGTAATTAGGGTTCCAAACCCTGTTAAATCGAGTTTAAAAATAACCTAAGAAGGCAAGAATACCTAGTAGGAACACTAAGAACATTGCAAGAAAACTAAAGCTAAATGAAAAAGAAACCAAAACCTGCTTGCAACCAAACATGAGAAGGTCTGAGTCTTCAGTTATTACGAGATCGGCATAGCCCGATTGCACTAAATAGGCTAACTGAGCATCCGACTCGTAAGGCGCTATGATGCAATCGACACCGAGCTTCCGAGCAGCCTAGACAAGAATCCGAAAACGGGAATGCACAGCCGAAAGTCAGGGCGATACCTACCTTCATTACAGCGCGGGCCATTTCTGCAGTAACTTCCACACATCTCTCAAAGCATTCTTGAGCAGCTTTCCGCTTTCCCTCAAGAAGATACTGAGCTGCCCTCTCCCTGTACATTTTTCTGGATCTAAAGCACGCATAAAGAACAAGCGGACAATACCTACGACGCTTTGCCTCAGTTTCAGCCTTCGCAGGAAGATCTGCGCCATCAAAGACTAATATCGGCCTTACACCGGCATCAAGAACCATCTTCAAATATCTAAGACAGTAATTTACGTGTCTAAAGTAATTATTGACCCAAATATTTACTGTGAAGTTGGATTCCCCAAAGCAATGTCCATTGCACATGAGTACGAAGCCCTATGTACCCAACAATAGGTATCAACAGCAACTGTGTATCCTTTAAAGTCCTTGATATCAACACGGCGACTGCACTTTTTTAAAAATGGGAGGAGCCCATTTACGCCCATGATCGAAGGCAGATAATTTGATTACTCCGAAAGTGCGCGCAGCGCCGGCGGCCTGTAATTACACATAATTCAAACCAACCACGCGCTTTATTTTTTAAGGCCTAACAAGCTAAAAATATTCGAAAGATGCATGATAGTTAATTAAAGACACTAGAGTAGCACACGAAACACCATTTTTAACCGTACGTAGGCACTGACCAAGACAAATATAAATCAATAGTTCTATTTTAAGAAAAAAGCATTCCGCTTTAACGGAATTTGTACTTGCTTAGCACAGCCGACTTTCCTTAAACAGCAAAAACTCTTTTATTAAGAGGGTCTAGAGGACATGCTTCCAAGTAATATTTTTTCCTAAAAAAATAAATTGGCCTAATTCTTAGTGTTTTTTTGCGTATTTAAATCCATATAATTTTCTTGCCATGACTTGATTGGTTGTGATGGTAGCCAGTTGGATCATAACACGAGTCTTGAGCCCCTTGGCTCTCATTCTGCAGGGTACCGTCTGTTGGCGTCCAGTGTTGGTTCGATCAGCATGTTCCATACAAAGACGGTTGATGAGGTACTCAGGGCTTTCGATGTGTCTCCAGACGAAGGCCTGAGTGATGAACAAGTTGAAAGTAGATCAGAGCAATATGGATTGAATGGTTTGCTGGGTTAAAATGTCATTTCATTAGAATTACCGCATGATGAAGGAAAGCCACTATGGAAGCTTGTTTTGGAGCAATTTGATGACCTACTAGTGAAGATATTACTAGTCGCTGCTGTGATTTCCTTCGTACTTTCTCTATTTTCTTCTAATCACTTTAATGCCAGGTTCTGGCCTTGTTTGAGGATTCGGAGGACTCTGCAACTGCCTTTGTTGAACCATTTGTGATTCTGTTGATTCTTATCTTAAATGCAATTGTTGGCGTTTGGCAGGAACGGGATGCTGAATCGGCGATTGAAGCTCTTAGGGAGTATGAATCTGATGATGCCAAGGTTATCCGTCAAAACCACAAGGGTATTCAGCGCATCAAAGCAAAATATATAGTTCCTGGGGATATTGTTGAAGTATCAGGTATGCGCATTGTCTTTTTTAGTGAAATTGACGCTTTGTACTTATTTCTACTATTTAGTTGGGGATAAGGTTCCTGCTGATATTCGCATAATCAAAATATCTAGTACGAATCTTCGTGTTGATCAGTCAATCTTAACCGGGGAATCTGTTTCCGTCATCAAATTTACTGAAACTATTTCTGATGCTGGTGCTGTCAATCAGGACAAGAAAAACCTTTTATTCTGCGGCACGAATATAGCGTCAGGAAAGTGCCGTGGTGTTGTTATCGCGACCGGTCTTAATACTGAAATTGGAAAAATCCGCAATCAAATAATGGAAACGGAACAGGAAAAAACTCCACTTACCCAAAAGTTAGATGAGTTCGGTGAGCAGTTGTCGAAGGTACGTTTTTTATGCTGCGAATTGGGGTGTTTCGTAAATAACCGATGTCCTTCTACGTCGCTTATCTTTTTAAAGGTTATTACCCTTATTTGTATTGCTGTGTGGGTAATCAACATTGGCCATTTCAACGACCCTGCCCACGGCGGATCTTGGCTTCGTGGTGCCATTTACTACTTCAAGATTGCTGTAGCTTTGGCCGTTGCGGCAATACCTGAAGGTTTGCCCGCCGTTATAACCACTTGTCTTGCTCTGGGCACACGTCGTATGGCCCGTAAAAATGCCATCGTACGCTCTCTGCCTTCAGTGGAGACACTAGGTTGCACCAGTGTCATTTGCTCTGATAAGACTGGTACTCTCACTACTAACCAGATGACTGTGTGTCGCATGTTCACTTTTGCTAGTGCAAACTCTGGCCAAAATGCGGCAGGGGATCTGAAAAGTAACTTCAGATTTGATGAATACGAGATCACTGGCTCTAAATACGCTCCTGAAGGAGAAGTGTACGTGATCCAGAGTTTTTTTGTTTTTGCACGTCTTTTAATCGTATTTATCATAGTTTTGTCCAATTAGAGCTGGTGTATATTGTGGAGAACGTTACATTCTTTACAGTGAGATGTAGTTCTGCATGATAACTCTGGATTTATATCTTCTAGTTTAAAATATGGCAAAAAGTTCAACTGCGCTTCGAATTCGTGTTTGATTGAGTTGGCCAACATTTGTGCGCTCTGTAATGACTCATCTCTCGAGTACAGTGTTGCAAGAAAAGCTTTTGAAAAGGTTGGAGAAGCCACTGAAGCGGCGCTCACTTGCCTTGTTGAGAAAATGAACGTTACCGGTGTGGATAAGTCGGATCTGAGCAAACGAGAACTGGCTATGGTCTGCAGCCATGCTATCACGGTAAGTTCATGCTTTTTACTGTACTTAATAAGTAGGATTTAGAATAGAGTTGATGTACAAACTGTGAAGGGTAATCATTAACTGCACTTCCGAGATAGCACCTTGCATTCTCATTTTTTTTGCAATTTAGAAAATGTTCAAGAAGGAATTTACTATGGAATTCTCTCGTGATCGAAAATCTATGTCTGTCTATGTCACAAAGCGCGGTGACACTCTTGGACCGGGAAAATTGTTTGTTAAGGTATTTTTTAACCGTGTTTAAATCATGTAACAGTTTTTTAGTACACGGATAGTTTTGTTTCAAACGCTTTTTTACCTTTTTGGTCGACAATGTTTTAACGTTGAGGCTGTGTCAAACACTCGCTCCAAATTGTTACACTTTTTGTGTAGCCTAATGTTTGTGGGATTTTTTTCATCGGTTTTTGTTTTTGGAGGCATATTCAGATCTGCGAATTGGTGTCCCTTATAATGCATTGGGATTAGTGTGAACCTAGTTTTAGGCTTTGAATGTCAAAATTGATTAACATCTTGAGGCACATCTGAACGCGTAGATGTCCGTCTGAGGGATTCTGAGGTCTGTTCGCATTTGAAGTGAGATTCGCTAAAAGTAAAGCTCGGGGAAGTTTTTTCCTTGCGATACGATGGCAGAAGGTATCGAAGCGTCATGGCCGTTGAGACAGGAACGCTGATGATTCTGTTAATGTTAATCTCGAATCACGGACTTGTTGTTTTCGTAACCTATCCCTTTTACTAATGGCGGAAGCAGAAGTGGTGTTTTGCCAAATAACCATAGTCGTAAACAGTCAATAGTGCGTTCGGTAGGTGTTATGACGGATTATCCTTTCGCACCACTTGTGCTATCATGCTGACGGCCGACCCATCGGCTGTTATGCCTCCTTCACTATCAGAATGGCTGAACACTTTGTGATCACCTTAGCCACGTAAAGGTGTTTTGTAATTCCACATAGGCAGTTTTATTTGCTTACTAAGTAGGCTTATTGTTATTGAGCCGCGTTAATTTCACATGTAAAATTACGCTTTATTTCTCCCAATATAAGGAATGCACAGTCGATTGAGAGCGATACCAGCAGGATTACAGTATGGGGGAAACAGATGTAGGTGTCGTACAAGTCATCGAGCGTCAAGTGTTTATTTTTGCCATTTACATATTCGAAATCATCCTGTATCGAGCTGTTTTGGCTCTAGCGCCAGTACCTGCTTTCTCATTCCAAGAGCACACTCCTTTTTTATTGGTTTAGTCATCATTTTATGAATTATTTCCTACAAACGATGCCTTTTGCTTGGCATTCTGTTATTACTCCCTAGAAACGAAATATACAGTACCCGGATTGCCTCTGGGTTTGCTACCGTTCATTTTCGGTATCTTATGTAGGCCATCGCGTGCAAGCATTGAGCTGATGAACCAAACGTTTTATTCCGTTTACTGAACTGCAAACAATCCCTCAAGTTTGTGGGTGTGTACTTATAAACTAACGACACTGGCATATTTTCTACTCTTCACGAGTTTATCCTTGGCACCAGTTATTCTGTGTCTTGCAAATACTGTTACTAAATTCGCCTAATGTCTAAAACTACTCTTGAGCCCGTAGCAAACTGTGTTGTGTAGTAAATGTTTACACATATGCGCTTTCTCAAAGCTGTCATAGCGCTATTGCTAGAGCCTACTTCTTTTACTGCTAAATGCATTTTTTCTTAAGGCCCCGTTATAGACGTGTACAAAAATTGGTAGAAATCTTAACCTTATCATGCTCTTTTTTGTGTTGTAGTTGCAGCTTTTATTCACTGGTTCGTCTTTAGCAATAGTGACAGTTACTTTGTCTCAACTTTGTTAGCATATAATATTCGTAAACGCTTACTGCGTCATACCCATAACTGCTCAAAGAATAGAGTAAATAAAATGAATAATTCCAATGCCAATTCCGCAGCATGTTTTTGTGTGTTTACTAAGTTTTCTCTCTTTTAAATGCTCCTGTTTTACACTGTCTCAGGGTGCTCCGGAGTCAATTCTTGATCGTTGCACTCAGATGCGAATTCCCAACAACACTCTCCCTCTAACTGCACAGATGAAAAATGAAATTCTATCTAAGTTAGCCACCTACGCCACTGGTCGAGAGACTATGCGGTGCCTGGCTCTTGCGACCGTCGATAATCCACCGCCTGCTTCCGAATTTAAGCTGGATGAAATTTCCACATTCAAAGATTACGAGGTTTTTCCGTTATTTTTTGCTTAATATTGCATTTGTGCTGCATTGCCCATATTTCGTCGTTTATAATGCCCCATATACATTCTTTTTTAGAAAAACATGACCTTAATCGGTGTTGTTGGAATGCTTGACCCTCCTCGGCCTGAGGTGGCGGAGAGTATTAGACTGTGCAAACGCGCTGGTATCAGAGTTATAGTAATAACTGGTGATAACAAGGCTACCGCGGAATCCATATGCCGAAAGATCGGCCTCTTTGAAGAGCACGAGAAGACTGAAGGAAAATCGTTCACTGGTCGTGAATTTGATAACCTCACACCCAAAGAAATGGCCGCTGCCGTTCGCAAGTCCAAGCTCTTTGCCCGTGTCGAGCCAGCACACAAGAGCAAGATTGTGGCATTCCTTCAGGCTGACGGTGAGGTCTCAGCTATGGTAGGTGTATTTCTCTGACCGATCAGTTTGGCAATGCCCGATGTCAATTGTTATACATCCGTTTCATCATTCCCACTAATATCTAAAGGTTTTGATCACTATCGATTTTGAAAAGCATATGACACTTTCTCCTTCATTTCTGAAGCGTTTTTCCTTTTGTTTGCGACATAAGTCGCAGATGTGTACAAGTCGTAGATTTTCTCATATGCGTTCTAGTATATGTTTCTGGGTTTCGGTTCTCATGAACGTAACCCTTTATCTTACGAACTTCATTCAAAAATTTTACACCTTTCATCTACTTGGGATTCCGCATAAGTAATCTTAATGAGCATCCTGAAACTAGCTGCTCTCTTCTATACATAAGCAATTTCGTACGTAGAGTTTGGATGAGAACACCATATTGGATTCTGTCTACAGTGGCCTGGCTTCTGTTTATACCTTGCGAAACACTTTCGTTAATAGACTGGCGACGGTGTGAATGATGCACCCGCGCTGAGAAAAGCCGAGATCGGTATTGCTATGGGCAGTGGAACGGCTGTTGCCAAATCAGCTTCGGAAATGATTCTCGCTGATGACAATTTCTCTACAATTGTTGCTGCTGTTGAGGAGGGTCGTGCGATCTACAATAACATGAAGCAGTTTATCCGCTACCTCATCTCCTCCAATATTGGTGAAGGTACATCTTTGCGACTGTTATTTTTTGTGGTCACTGCTTTTGTTCAGTCAGTTTCTTGCATGACGTGACGTGCCTGCCTATATTCTTGCAGACGGGACTTGGATTTTAAATGGACTTGCTTATTGCGAATTCCAATTTTCGTTTCGATAGCAAAAATTACTGATATTGGTTTATGTGATTGGATGTCTCTCATCTTTCTGCTGTGTAGAATCTTCTTCGTTTAGATTTTTCTGGTTCATTAGGCCAACTCCCTTCTTCACAGTTTTAGGCCCCTACTTTAACACTAAAGCCCGAAGCCATTGTACTTCCGTCCCTTAGTAAGGGTTGCCAAAGGAACTGATTTTTCTTCGTGCATTTAGTTTGATCTTGTCGACTGATATCTTATACACTAAATAATGCATTTGATGGCAACTTATTTAGTGATGATTTGTATTTTTAATCTTTACAATCGGTGTCATTTGATTTATGTATGCTCGATAATCCCTCTAGTCTAAATGAGTCGTTCGTCTTGCTTGGTAGTATGTTTACATCAAGTGTGCTACGCTCTGCTCTATTTACGGTTGCTATTTGCAAATGTCTCGGAAAATTGAAATTGAAGTATTTATCAAAGACTGCCCATCTTAGTCTAGGAACTTTTAATCCCAGGTTAACCTTCTCCCGTCATGAACTGTTGGCATTGGCGATGATCCGTTGTGCTAACGTATTTAATGCATGTTCATCATGGAGAATCGCTTGTAAGAGAACATCAGCTTTCATGATCTAAAAAAATCTTATTTGTCATTTCTCATTATTAGTTGTCTGTATTTTTCTCACTGCTGCGCTCGGTCTTCCTGAGGCTTTGGTCCCAGTGCAACTACTGTGGGTAAACCTGGTAACCGACGGTCTTCCGGCTACGGCTCTGGGCTTCAACCCACCCGACGTCGATATAATGGAACGGCCTCCACGTAGTTCCAAGGAACCTCTCATTAGCGGGTGGCTATTCTTCCGCTACCTAGTTGTCGGCACCTACGTCGGTGTTGCTACTGTTGGCGCTTCTGCCTGGTGGTTCCTTATCAATCCTGCCGGTCCGCGCGTCTCCTACTATCAGCTGGCAAGTAGTGGCACATTTCTACGGCGCCTTATTAGACTGTTGAGCTTACTGATTCCAACTGTTTCAGACACACCACCTCAAATGCTCAGTTGACAAAGTCGACTTTCAAGGTGTTTCCTGCTCAGTTTTCTCAAGCGCAAAACCCATGACATTGGCACTGTCTGTACTCGTTGTTATTGAAATGTTAAATGCTCTCAACAGGTGTGTTTTGTTATGCACTGATTCCTTCGCTCAATTATGCTAATTACTACTTCCGATAATGGTTTCTGGTCTTCGAGTTTTAGTCTTTTGAAAGATTACCTTACAATTTTTATCGGCAATAGTGTTTCCAAATGTTCTATTGTATGATGAATAGTCTGTAATAGAAATGACACTTGCAAAGATAAATATGTATTGAAGTTAGATTTATGGCCAACTCCTGTTTTTTTAAAAAGCCTTTCAGAAAATCAGTCGCTTGTTGTGATGCCACCGTGGAGAAATATGTGGCTTCTTATTGCTATTGCATTCAGCATGATCCAACATTTCACCATCCTTAATGTTCCTTTCTTGGCGGTAAGTTTGTGGATTTGTTAAAAATCTGAACTGAGGCATGATCATTTTCCATTGGCCTTTGAATGTAAGCTCTTGCTTATCAATGGCAATACCTTTGCCTTTTTCTACTATAGAACGTTTTCCAAATTTCTCCTCTCAGTTTTGCTGAATGGGTAGTGGTATTAAAGATATCTTTCCCCGTGCTTCTCCTTGACGAAACTATGAAAATGCTTTCCCGTTGTGTACAAGACGGTCACTCGTTCGCATTGGAGGGTTCGATCGTCACACTCACCTGGGCGCTATTTTTGGGTGGCGTTTTCTATTCTCCGTTGTAAAAAGCTTTAACACTTTTCGTATTTCTGTGTGTCTATAAATTTGTCTGCTTTCCGATTACACCATGTCCCCTTAACGACATACAACTTTTTTTTAGTCTGCAAACCCATTTTGCTTCGGTGGTGAGCACAGCATTGATTGTTGCTGCCCACTGAGCGTTTACTTTAAAAATATCGGTGTTGCGAAGTCCGCTAAAGTGTATTTTTGATGGTGGTGGGGTTGGAGTGTCGGCAGCTGCAGGGATGTCGTCGGGTCGTCTCTGGTTATTTGAAAGTGTGCGACGGGAAGACTGCAAACACCGCCTGCACTAGTCCAGAAAAAAAGGGTTTTCACTCACAATGGGATGCTGAGACGGTTTGGTCCCTGGGTCGTGGGATGCGATATACTGCGTCTTGCCTGCTTTGAGGTAGTAGCTGGTTTAAATGACTCGTTTGGTCTTCAAATTTCCACCCACAGAGCGAATAGGGTCATGTAGGCTTTGTAATGTGATGTCTTGAGGGCGGTCTCGGTAATATCATTGCCCCTACACTTCTCTCTGAAGGAACGTAATGATTCAAAGGACTTTTATAACTCTGCATTTGACTACGCAGGAACCCCTGTCCTCAGGTATCGTAATTGGCTTAAAGGGCATGCCATCATCTCAGCTGTTCCGCATGTTGGTGATTAACACTTTGTCCAGCTACCCTGGCTCCTTACGACTTCCGACAAAACTTTGAGAGCTGCAAATTTGTGTGTATTATACAAAGAGATGTAATACAATTGTGGTTTATCCCTCGGTATTGGTGAGGCGCTACTTTTGTACTTCTGAATTAGCCTTCTTGTACCTCGTTGGGTGGGCTGGCCTTCGGGCCATGCCAGTAGCCCAGACACCTTCTCTGTGCAGAATATATATTCTACCCGAGTATTGTGTCTTCTTTCATCTTCGAGGAAGTCTCGGGAGGCTACAATGGTGGCAGCGGAAGGCGAACCCGATCCTAAAGATCATGTATCCTGTTTTCCACTTCTGAGTGATAAGCCTTAGAAGTACATATGCTACGGATGGGAGAATGGCGATGACCCCTAATAGAAGGGTTGAAGTTGACGTCTACCCTCGGCATCTACCCCAGTCCTGTGTTCTGCAGGAAAGCTGTTAATAACAAAAGGGACATTAGCCCTGAACCATCTGGAAGTTTCGTTACAGACTTTCCCTCCCTTCCCCCATGGGCCTTTATTAAATCCCGTCCTTCCTTACACAAATCTACTTTTAGGCCGGTGTTCCTACATCCATCTATGGACACGCATGATGGCCAGAGCAATTCCCCGTCCTGAAACAAGTTCGTAAACCAGACGAAACTCCAGATCCAGTTAAGCCGCCAAGAGGGATCAGTGACGCTGAGGTTAAGTATCTCCTCAGTTGCACGCTAATTTGGTGACTGGTACCTTCGGATCCCGGGTGTTTCATTACAGCACCGACTAGGTTGTAATGGCTAATGCGGGAGCGGCAGGGACGACAATCAAATGAGGAGGGAGGCTATGCAATACAATGGCGGTTTATCCCTCGGTGTTGGTGAGGCGCCACTTTTATACTTTTGAATTAGCCTTCCTGTGCCGCGCTGGGTGGGCTGACCTTCGAGCCATGGTAGTAGCCCAGACACCTTCTCTGTGCTGAATATATATACTCTGCCCGAGTATTGTGTAGCGTCCCGGGACTCCCTGAAGACGAAAGAAGACACAATACTCGGGCAGAATATATATTCAGCACGGAGAAGGTGTCTGGGCTATTGGCATGGCCCAAAAGGCCAGCCCACCCAGCGAGGTACAAGGGGGCTAATTCGAAGCACAAAAGTGGCGCCTCACCAGAACCGAGGGATAAACCACTATCGTATTACAATTGTGTCTTCTTTCGTCTTCGGGGAAATCTCGGGACGCTACAGAGAGTTGGGGGTTAGCCAGCTTCTACCCATTTACAGAAGTGCCTAAATCTTTTGCTAAAACTCTCTGTCAATAAACATTCATTCTTTCTTAAAATTTATTCAAAAACACATCATAAAAATGAATAGGTCTAATTGCTTGGGACATATTGTTAATTGTATTTCGCTGATTGACGCATGCAATACGCTGTGCTCATGTAAAATATGCAGGTAAAATTTATTATATGCAGCAAATTTGGCAATTTGTGGAGGAAATCATGAAGGATTTCGGCCATTTGTTTTAAAAGTCTTGAATAGTGATCACAATCAAGGTCAACCTAACTTTGGCTTTTAAACTCGTTATAATTTTCCGACCTATCGGATTGAGATGGACGAAACTTTAGCTAAATTCCTGATTCACTTAAATATCGTAGAATCACCTGAATCTCTTATACGAAAGTTAGTTGTTTTGTTTTATTGATTTTTAGAACCAAACACATACGAATGCTTAAGGTAATCGCAACGAAATGGATACTAGAATTGGCACAAAAACGGGTAATTTTGACCGCTTTATATGGAAAATCCCACGTAGGATATCATTTTAGAGAACTCCTCGTCAATGTTACCATGTGATGTACTAATTCAGGGGTCAACTAGTTTGGGAGTCAGTTTCAAGGAAAGCGACATTGATGCAGTTTTGGTCACCCCAAACTTCGTCTATCGCGAGGACTTTTTTACCTCATTTGCAGAAATTTTGCGCAAAAATAAGAATATCCAGGACTTGCTGGTTATTACTGACACGTTTGTGCCACTAATCAAAATGAAATTTGACGGAACCTCTGTAAATCTTATAGTTTTAACTTGTTTTCTGCATTGTACTAATGCTGAAACAAAATGTTTGAATATTGTATTTATATGCCTTAGGTTGACTTGATAATGAGCCGGTTTAATCTACCATACGTACCTTCGCCTATAATTTTCGACCAGGAGCCAGAAGTATTTTATTTCGATGTCGATCAATACTCTGTTCACGGCTTGTCAGGTCTCCATCTTTCACGAAAAATTCGTGACCTTGTTCCTAATTTTCCCCTCTTTGCGGACTTGCTTAAAGTCATAAAAATATGGGCATCTCGACGCCTTATTTCCGATTACGTATATGGATTTCCAGCGAGTGTAGCATGGGCTGTACTTTGTGCATACATATGCATACACACCACAAGATTTGTGAGTTTTCAAGGTTTTCTCACTTAACAAAGCATATTTTCTTACAGAATCATGGTTGTATATTTCATGACATTATTTGCTTGATTATTTTTTAAGGTTATTCTCAGTGTGATTGGGTATTTTTAGTCGAATGAAAGTTATCCATTTTATGGTCTGTCGAGTCCTTCGTTCAATGTTGAGTTGAGTGAAGTAAATCAGGAAACCGTTGACTCACCATTGCTCCTACGGGATTTAATGCTCCAATCTTGGAGATCAGTTGAGTCATTAAACCTGATCTCGCTTCTTACCCGCGGAACATGTGCAAGCGAACGACAAAATCCGACGATCAGACTTACCACACTGGTGAAGATATTTTTTGCCTATTTTTCTAACTGGGTTTGGCCTAGCCCCGTCATGATTGCCCCTATAGTTACGGTCCCTAACCTGCGCTTATATTCATGGGATCCAAGAGTGAGCTCATATCCGTATTTATATTGACTTATAGGACAAATTATTCCTTTTTATTTACGGGTGCAATGTCTTATTAGAACTATTTGCAATGCTGCTTATGTGAGCCGTCGAAATTGCACTTGGATTTGATTTAATATGGTTTTTTGATTTTCCAGATGGATATACAGAATGGGCATGAAATTATGCCAATTATAACTCCAATTTTTCCCCATAAAAACGCGGCCTATACTGTTAGACCTTCAAGCCGAGACATTGTAGTGAAGGAACTACAACGCGGTGAGTTCTTCACAAAGAAAATTAGAAGTTGATGATTATCCTTTCAGTAATTTATGAATTTCCCACGCACCTTCGCATGCGTACATCACTCCTTCGTTAGTTGGAAAGTGGCGGTTGTTTCTTGAGATATTCAGCATTTGAAGTCTTCTCCCTTTACTAAAGGCGAAAAATACGTTCTGGAATTTAGTTCATTCCAAACTCGATATCTATAACAATGGAATGAGTATTGGCAATCGCTCATTAAGCTTGCAATTAAATCAGTGGCCGCTTCCTAACTGTCTGTTCACGCATTTCAATTTGCTTGAATGATTCATTTTACTGATCCCTTCAATGATGCATTGCTGCAACAGTCGTCAAATCAACATCTGTTTCTTGAATAAGGCTCTGCGAATCAATTCTAGATGTTAAGTGAGCCGAATAGCAAATTTAAACAAATGCGTTTCATTAAATATTCTGTCTTTAGGCTTCCATCTGATGAAAAAAATCGTTGAAGGTTCAGCCACTTGGGAAGACCTCTTCGAACCTTACGACATTCGTCAAGACTATAGGTATTTTAAGCATGCATCAAGCTGCAACATCCTAAAGCCGTTTTATAAAATCCGGGGCGTAGATGCTTACACATTATTGGCAACAGCGCATTCATCTTTTCTTGATGCGCTATATCTTTTTTTCTTATTTCTTTTCACCCTTGTAGACAAACTAAATAATCAGGTTAAACTTTAGGCTAAAATGCTGTATAATCATAGGGTTAATTGCTAATTTGCACTACTTACTGTCATTTGTTTGAGAAACCAATGAAACCGTCTGATTCCAATTTTATGATTTTTTGCACATTCTAGGCACTTTTTGAAGCTAGTTCTATTGGCTGATAATTTTCAAGAATTAGGACGTCTAGGCGGACTGATCGATTCGCGTCTGAGGGACCTTGCAGGGTTTCTGGAAGAGCATCAATACATAGAATCGGTTAGGATAACTAAAGCATCTGATTTGTAAGTTTATTAATCTATTTTAAGTGCCAAAACACGAGCAATATGTCCCATTTCCTAAGCTATATGCGGCTACATTGAAATACACGACAGCCGGAAACCCAATTTACAAAAAAACTGTTCCTGAACTGAAAAAAATTTCTGCGTACCTCCCGCAGTGTGTTCTAGCTAATACATTTTTGTGGAATCCATACTTTTTATCTAATATATATCAGACCCAAAAGTCCTTGCTTCGAAAGTGTGTCAGGAGAACTCTCCAGCAGCTCCGAAAGTGATTGTGAGAAAGGTTTCAAACGAGCATGGCTCCTGGGAATGAAAATATTGAAGGCTGCACCCTTACCTGATGGCACTTACCCTGAGCGCAAAGTTGACGTGACTCAATACCTACTTCGTTTCTATGGTACTCTACAAGAACGGGATCCGAACACAAACTTCCTGAATAAACTCATAACCGCCTACGTCACCAGGTAGCATGACTTGATACAACTTATGACAAAGTTTTGTGGAACCGTGTTGTATTGACCTGTTAATTTTAGATCAGACCTGCATTCCAATGGCTAAAACCCCGTTCTCACCCCCTATCCCCACTTGTGATAATTGGTCTCTGTACATTATTGTGTGCTTGACGCCTACCCGGATAACCCCACATTTGTTAGCTTGTTGACTTGTAAAACGCTAATAAATTCGTGCCAAATGTTGAGTTGTACCGTATGGTATGCGTAAACACCCAAGCGGCTCTACGCAGATTAGATGAGGGGAATTAGGCTGCATCAAACGTGTGTAACGAGTTTTCGATGTTCATTTTGAGAAAATGGATTCAGATAATCTAATTAAATGCAATTCAATCTAAAACGAGCATAAAAGTTCTGACAAAATTCTGCATAAAGACATACGAGTAGCATGTAGTTCGATTAATTCAATTTGCGAACGAGAAAGGTTGACTAGGTCCTTTTAGTTCGGACTTTCGGAATAAATTAATAATTGATAAAAATTAAGTTTTAGCCAACATATAGATGCCTTTATTTACATATATTTGGGCAAGAAAGTAACTATGGCAAGGAGCACCGCTAATGGTAGTTTTATAATTGCCGCAATGTGGTTCTATGAGGGGCGAATAGATGTACAGTGTGCTCAGCGCTTAAACCTAGGAATGCTATAAGGCAATGGCTGCAAAATGCTAACAATTGTAATGAACAATACCAGAGAATTCCACGGATCGTCTTCCTTCGTCATTTACCCAGCTAAATGTCATGCGCAACTTTAACAAGAAATTTTATAATGAAAATCAAGCAAAAAATATTTTCGACCTTAGTGTGGCTTGTTGTGCTTTAAGTTATCTGCAATTCGTAAATGTCCCTTTGTATATTTATATGCATAACTTTTGCTAGAGGCGCCCTCTCTGATATTTCCGTATTTGATACCCCTCTAGGCATGACGAGCTCTGCGTCGTCACTTTTGCTACGAAAGCAGTTAGCCGGTAATAAGAGTTCTTAATATTTTTTGCGCAATGTTTTGTTTGCATTTAAGTGTCAATATCGTCTTTAAATTTATGTTTTAGAGCTGAACAAAAGTGGCACAGAGGGTTTTTCTGCTGGCCTTATTGATGATGACAACATATTTAAGTGGCAGGTTCTTATAATGGGGCCTGCGGACACACTCTAGTAAGATTTCTAAGATTGGAATTATTCGAATGAGTAGTGATGGTGGCTGGTTTAAAGCTACGCTGGAATTTCCCCAAGACTATCCAAATCACCCCCCAAAAATGCAGTTCTTAACGGATATGTGGCATCCCAACATTTCTCCTTCCGGAAGCGTATGTATATCAATTCTTCACGAACCTGGTGAAGATCGATTTGGCTATGAAAGACCCGAGGAACGCTGGCTTCCTGTGCATACAGTGGAAACTATAATAATGTCTGTCATATCGATGCTCGCTGAACCGAATCCTGACAGTCCAGCCAATGTGGACGCAGCTGTAAGTTACGGTATCTAATCTAACCCTTGTAGAAGATGTTCAGAGATGATTATGAGGAGTTCAAAAGGCGAGTAGGACAGACAGTCCGAAAGAGCCAAGAATCCTTCGAGTGAAATTAATCATCTTTCAATGAAAACGCTGTACTGGTATTGATTTGGGCTGTACCCCTTATCTTTGTGCGTCCTTTCAGAATATCGTTTTCGTTGCCTATTTTCATACTCGTTATCACTGTCCTGTACATTGTAAATCATGCGCGGACGCCGGGAAAGCATCAGTGGTGATGTTTACAACAGCCTTTTTGTTTTAAAGTGGCGCGTGAGTGCAACATTTGTCAGATGTATGCTCAGAGGTTTAGTCAAGGCGTTCATCAGGCTAAGTATTTTGTGGACAGCTCTCACATAAATGTGATACGTCGTCGAAAAAAAGACCTACTCATACAGAAATAACGTTTTATTAGCAAAAATGTACAAGTTTGTACATATACTGACCGTATTTTACATGAAGTTTCTCTCAGGAAGATTGATTGGTCAATCCACTCTAAAAAGAATTTATTGGAGTTAGCGGCTTTCCAACCATGCCTCTCCTGGTAGGCACGCGGAGCACCAAGTTGATTAAAGTGGCTCACCCTTGAATTCGTCAATCCATTGGACTCGTCCTGAAAATCGAGTGAGTTGGAGCCTGAAACGTTGAAAAGGGTGCCAAAAATTGTTCGGGAATTTAGTATTGAGTGTGGAGATCTGTTTTATTCGTCAACTGTTGCGTTACTGGAAATGCTCTGCACGACTATAAGTTGGTCAGACTTACTTAGTGCATGATCCTGAGTAACGTGGCGGTTGCGTTCGCTCGCGTCTAGGAAGCATTGACTACAGTGTGAACATGCGAAAATCTTGGAAGCTAAAAAGGGACGGAAAGTTCTAGGCGCCCATTCGCACCATCACAACGTAAAAAATGGAGGGGCGGGGGTGATGTTTTTTTTGCTAAAGGAAGAGGGATGGACACGTAGGCAGCCCCAACTGGCAAGGAGTCGGGGAAATTTGGCCGATTCAACAGACGTTGCCTCAGTGATGCGCTTCAAAATTTGAAGCAGTGTCATGTGCGGGGAGCGTGGTCGCCCGTGGAATTCCTGTACTTTTATGCAGGGATGGGGTGATGAGGATCCAAGATGTGACATAACATTAGTTTATTTTTTGGAACTCACTGTTGTGAGAAGATAGATTATGTCCCATAAGCGCAAATTTAGATGGGAAACTGAGATCACATTTCGAGCAAATGTGGCGAGAAGCTGGAATGAATGAATTGAGGTAACATTTAAGAAAGGAAAGATGTGAAAGCAATGTTAAGATCGAACCAAGCCACTTTTGCCATAATAATCAGACAATGTGGATTTCTGAGTTTTAAAAGATATCGAAGTAAAAGTGACACCGACAGAGAGGACACTTCTAGAAACCAGTCAAGTCACCAATAATTCACCAATTGATAATAAAAAGTATATGAATGCAACGAGGTCATTCTAAAGGGACCAAATTTCTAACACAACTCAATATAAATGGTGATTTGGTAGCATGAAACTCTTCGCGACTTTACAGTAACACTTTAGCTTCTAGCAGACTGTGCACACATAACGCAGATGTTAAAAATTATAATTAGCTTGATTCTACGATAACGCCTGTATTATACCTGCATGAACATTTTCATAGTGGCGTTTCATTGCAAACTTGTTAGAAAATGTTTTGTCACAAATGGAGCATATTCCGATTTCAACATCTGAAAATAATAACAGTTAAATTGCTACTTCTACGACCACAAATAAAAAGCAGTCCAGATACACTTACGCTGGTGTACGATTCGTAAATGACGATCAAGACTTTGTTTGCCACTAAAATTCTTGAAACAAAAGGGACAACTAGTAGGATTTTCACCATCTACATTGCGGAAAGGGGGAGTGTCATTCATCTCATCGGGATGTACCCGCCGCATATGACGCTGTATAGCAAAAGTAGTAAGAAATTTTCGGCCGCAAATTTTGCAAGCAGAGGCTTCAGCTTCTAAAAGGGGGATAAATAAAGCGTCTACAGATGTATAAACAAATATGTACATTTAAACATAGCATTACGTTTGTGCATAATTTTAAAATGGCGTCGCATTCCGTGACGAGTAGCCATTACAGTTCCACAGATTGGACATGGTCCAGCTGTCAAAGACGATTCTAAAAATTGCAGATGTAAGATTAAAAGTAAATTAAAAGTGCTAGAATCCCTTAACCTGCTTACGCTACCTTTTATACTTGTTATTTTTGGATCATTCGGATCCAGATGGACTTTTTTTGAAGGCCGCTTAACCATTGTGGATCAAAACTAGGGGAGAGTACATGGATCAAGTGTGCGTGAAGAATACCGAGAACTCTCACATGCAAAATATAGGAAGTAGTATTTGCGTACTTCTGAAATTGGAAAACAAATAGAGAAAATGAGAGCAAATTAATTGTTACTCAATCTTGAGAGAAACAGATAAAATGAGTCCCGATGTTGGCAAGTATTATAAGCTTGGTCTTTTAAAAGGATAAATGCACTTTCATTGTATTTTAATTGTCACTTTGCTTCACATGACAAAAAAGGTACAAGTAGTGGCAAAATTGGAGCATGAACTGCGCTATAGGACAGTCATGAGTGGTAAAGGTCCATCGCCACAGTTTTGCTATAAGCCGCAACTTTAAAGTGGTTAAAATATGCAAAACCCACTTAGTAGTAATAATTGAATAAGCATTCCGACTGTGCAAAGCATTATTATTACGAAATCCACAAATACCTACTGAGGCATGAATTTAAATGCCTGTCACTAAAAAATCAGAAAACGTCGCAGTATGTCAACGATGGGCTGCAGCTTAAGAGAAACTTCGAAAGACAAGCCGAAATGCAGGGGACTCACAGCGCTAGAGCATTTAGATGTCCCGCAAAAAGTGTAAGTAGCGTAACAACTAGTGTATTTACTGAAATGCTAAGGTATGGGTGCCTGGCTGTTGTACGGAAATGTTTTTTTTATTTCTTAAACATATTATTTGGTGTATGGCTGACAACAATATTGCACAATTAAGCTCAACCGTTACATGTGCAGGTAATCGATGTCTCTCGTTTAGGAAGCATTTGATAAGGCACCTTTTGCTCAGTGGCACCATTTTTAAGTTACATCATATGTGACGGAACTAGCAAAAACAATTAGGTCTTTTAATTTTCTCTTTTACAAGTGCGTCATCTAAAGGTCATTTTAGGGTTTAATTGGCTCGTTGACCTGCTCGTCGGATGTGAAGTCGAGTCAATGTCTCTGTTTATTTCGATGATATTTGGTATAATTTCAATGGCATCTGGCACTCTTATTTTGGTAACCTGGCGATTGTACCGATTTTTGCCTAGATTTCTCCTCAGATCAACGTAACGATTGAGATGGATGATGCGGAAGCCTCATTTGGTGCCCCAATTACTGACGAATCGCCCCTGGTATGGTTGTATTCGCTTTATTTTTAAAGGGTAAAATATCGACGAGCGACCCACCTTTGGCTTGCTCAGCTGTGCAATCACCTCCCAACGAAACAGATGTGTTTTTTGCATTAGTTGATCGGGGAAACTGTACATTTGCTGAAAAAGTTTTGGCTGTGCAGAATGCCAAGTATTTTGGTGCCATCATAGCCAATGTTGAAAGTGATTACGTATTTCCGATGGGATCGGACGAAAGTAATTTTTTCGTTAGTGCATTTGCTTTTAGAGTTAGAAATAACCATTCCATCCATCATGGTTGGTCGTACATCAGGAGAGGCCATACGCAATCACTATCTCTATAATTCGGGGTAGTTTTATTTCATTTAATTTTTACGTACAAGTGACATCTACATTACCTTCTATCTTAATTATGTTTAGTTTTAGGGCGCGCATGAAACCCAATCGAGGAACAACAATCGAATACTATTTAGTTCCTTTGTTGATTGCGCTTTCTCTGGCATTTTTGGCGATCATAATTTCCTTAGCAGTACGCGTTTTTCGAACTTGTATGCGTCAGTCGAAGAATAGGCTGAGTCGAGAAATCCTCAACAAGCTGCCAGAGATTCGTTTTTCAGAAGGTTAGTGTATCTGGGTATTTCTTCACAGCGCACAAATATTTTGGCTAGTTTCTCTGAGTTCCTTATTTCGATTGCTTTAGATTACCAAAATCTATATGAAACGTGCGCAATTTGTCTGGAGGACTACACGATGGGCGATAAATTAAGGGTTCTGCCTTGTCATCATGGTTAGTAGGTTACAACACGTATCTCCTCGTGTTATAATTATGCTAATTTCTGTAAGAGTTTGTTATTCGACCCCAGTCAGCATTGATCCTTTTTATTTTTCTTGCAAAATTATTTTTATGGCTTGTGATGTATTAGTTTATCATTAATGATTGGTTTCAAATACTTTTTGCCATCTCTATGAACAATGGCCCCTTTTTAAGAATAGCTAGTAATTTAGGTGAAAAGTAACCCTAATATCGTTCTTTTTCCCGAAATTCTGATTTTGATTGGCATTTCGAACCTGATTTATAGCCTATCATAGTAAGTGCGTTGATCGGTGGCTGCTTCGACGACAGGGCTCCTGCCCGGTGTGCAAATATCGTATTCACCGTAACCACGATGATCTGGAAACCGATAATGAGGAGAATCGCGCCGATGGAGGAGGCGATTACGAAGACGTGGCAAACGAAGGTGGTGTCGAATCAGCAAATGCACAGAATATGACGACCGGAAATTCGGCTATTGGGGTCCTACAAACTGCATATTCGGTTCCTTTGAATAATACAGATGCCGCTTCAGGCGATTTTGATGCTGAATACGATGAGAATGACGGTGTTGCTCCCCTTTTAAGCAGGTCTGCACCTGTCGCGTCATGGCTTTCTGGAGGTCTGTTGCCCTCTCGGGGTACCACCTGGCTTGGAAATGGTAGGTTGATGTGTGGTCACTAAAGTTCAAATGTAGCAATTTAAGCCATCCAGTGCTTATCGGTCCGCATCTTCATATTGGTACGAATAGCAGAGGGGATGAGCAAACTATGCCAATAGTCTATGCTGTTAATAGATCCCTTTTAGTTTGCACCCTCTACCACACTACTGCTCTTCGTCCTTTTTAACAAAATCTTTTTTTCTATACGCACAGTTGTTGTATTATGGATCTGCCGGAAATGTTGGTAACTTTTACCACTCCTTTACAATAATTTACTGTTTGTTTTAAATACTGCTGTTAAATTACATACACTTCTTCCCCACCCCGGATATTCCTTTTCCTGCAAATAAATCGTCTGGTGCATTATTATCTTAGATAACACGTTAAGTTACTGTTACTCTTGTCACGACTAAATTATGACTTCTATCCTAATTGCCTAGCTCACATTTTATCTCAATTTCTTCAAGCACTTTTTTTAGAAATGAGTGCGCATATTCTGTTTCATTGTATTTTCGAAATTCTGTTCATTGGACGAAACATCAATTTTTACTTGAGCTGATTATCGGAATCACCATAATCAAACAAGATCTTGGTCACACTCTAAACTTCAGTTTTTATCCTTTGATATGACGTCGCATACTTTTATTAAAAGTTTTTGCACACGGCTGAATACCGAACTCCAAATTTTTCTCGTAGCGAGCCACTTTGAACCTGTTTCCGCCCGTTACCCTTTGATATTGTAATTTATACCTATTCAGAAAATGTCGTGATTTATTCTACCTTTTAATTTTTACCCTGTTAATTTTACATTCATCAGTTGTCTTATAATTGCCAATTTTGCGGCTCTATTGCTAAAGGCCTCAGGGTGTCGTTTTTACTATTAGTCTCGTTTTTTAAGCTAATTTGGTCTTTTGCTCAGTCCCAGATGTTTTTTGAAGATATTCAGCTAGGTATTAATGTCACTTTGACTTCGTAAAGGTTTCATGCCGTCAGAACTACCTAATAGGTTTCAAATTCTATCAATTTTATGACAGAATGATATGAAGGTGTGCAAAATCTGGGGTTTACTTGCTTTGAGTCCGATCCCATGCGATTGCATCAAGAGTACCAATGTGATTTGACGTTTGATTTGGGATCACAAAAACGTTTATTTATTTATTTAGTTGCCGTCAAATTAAAGATGTAAATTTTTCCCCCCGAACCTGCGTACGGAAACAGGGGAGCACGAAAATGACCAGTAGTAATGTGACGACAAGTACACTCAATTGGTTTCAAAAACCACTATTTGAACATTCAATTATGGCAAAAGCTCCTCCCAGTGATGTTTTCAGCGTTTCAGCCATCGCAACGTAATGTTGCATTGGGTTTGTGTGCGAGAGTGTTTATTCACGCCTGTAACCGCAGCTGTTTGTGTTTTTACACAGTCGCCCCCTCATCCACAGTCATATGCACAAATTACTTCTTTGGAAACGCTCTCGACGTTAATGCTGCGGTAACCGCGCTGGTAACTGATTTTCCGTCTCAAAATTGACTACTTTGTTGATTTTCAATTGCCATATTAATGTGAGCAACTTTTGAACATTTATTTGTATAGTTGTGACATAATTTGTGGTTTGGAGTTGGGCTCCAGTTTTGTTGGTTAGAAAAGTCTCGATGCTCCCAATCTCATGCCTCACTCGCGTGTTTTAAGATTTCTGTCTCCGATTGATCAACTCCCCCCCCCTCAAGTGCTATATAGTATTACCTGGAAAAAAGTTGCGGTGCTGGGAAACAGATCGAAAACCACCATATCAGCATGTCACACCTCCCCACAAGTTGTTCTCCAGAGCTGTGCTACGGTACTTACCGCATGAACTAGTCCCTCTACGGTATATTCGCCCAAAATTATTCTCTCAAACTAACCACCCAGATTTATACTAATGAGAGAGGTCTCATATTTGGCCATTTCTGATGTATAGACAATCCGGCGTTCGAAACCACCTATGAAGGTGAGGAATCCGCACCGCCGTCGGTAGCAGAAGGGGATCATAGTGCCACGGTTTCTTTTCGAACTTCCAAGTGTTCACTCCCACAGCCGTCCGCAAACAAGAAATCGGAAGGCAAGGCTCTGGAAACTCACCAGTCGTCACCCAACGCGTAGAGCCGTCCCCGCGACTCTTAGTTACGTTCCCCTTCCTCCAAATTCTGCCCATCCGCATCGCCCACCAGAGGACCTCGTAATCTTGCATTCTTTCGACAACCTCGCTCATCCCATTGTATTTTGTTCAATTTGTACAATAACTTTTACGAATCTGAACGGGGCGAATTAATTTTATTCGTGGCAGTCGTGCCGGGATCACCAATGCATTGCGGTCTCATGTGGATTGGCACGCAACTTGCCCAAATCAAATTGGCTTAACCTTCCGACAACGTAGCTGATGCGATTCCTACTGTTACCTCCCGAAACGAGGACATGATTTCTAAGGGATACTTTGATTTATGATTGCCTCGAGATGCTTCTCACGCTACGCCTAATAAAAACCCTGCCTTCGTTCATCAAACGAACCTTTAAGAATTATCGTTTGGCACATATTTGTTAATCACAAAGCTAGGAATTTCTCATAACGAAGCCGCGGGTTGGATATCCGTATTTTGCGAAGTGAAAGATACCAAACACTACATACACGAATTAGGTTTACGGGATCTTGGATTTGAATGTACAAGTAAGTCTTCCGCACTGTCCCTCGTGGTGCGTGAAATTGTTATCAGCCACAATTTTCTGCACGGCCAAGAACAGCCGCATCTCAAAATGTGGGAACCAATTAGAAGGCAAATAAGTCCAAAAGAAAAGGCAATGCATTATTTACAAGTGGATGCGTGGGAGATAGGAGGCGCTAGGCGGTAGACCCGGCTAGGGATTGATCGCGGAAGGCAATGCATGTGATGGCACGTTGATGACCCTTGTATTCCAGCCGTGGCTCTGTGGTAGTGCCTCCGAGGGACTGCCCTCGCTGCTGAGAGTCCTCGAGGTTCCAGAGCCGCGCGATGCCGTCAGAGTGCGCAGAGATAAGATAGCGCGAGTCCGCGGAGAAGGCACAGTCCCAAGCCCAGTAGCGATCCTCATTGGGTTGCAGCACACTTGTCACGCTACAGTCGGCCGTCCGCACTAGATTCACCTTGCCGTCGGCACCGCAGGTAGCAAGTAGTGTACTATCCGGCGAGAACTCACACTTCAGCGCATAGGAGCTATGTATCTTGGAATTGTGCTAAAGTAAAAATTAAAATGACAACAGGTTTGGTGCACTTTCACTACAGGCACACGGCCCATCAATGACAATCGCACTCCATCAATATGTTTAATGACACTGGAGAATTAGGGTACACGCAATATTTTAAGCAGCCCATTTCGCCATCATCAGAACACACAAACCAGGTATCTGAAATCCAAAAACAGAACGATCTTCGTAACGATCCCCTAGTTATATGGCTCAAAAGAAGCATCTCAATCAAAAAACTGCTAACAGGTGGATTTTAATAATACTTTTTTTGAGATTAATGGCTCCGGTAAGCATATTTTACTTTAATTAGGCGACTGATCAGTGTATATTTACACGCAAGTGACTGTAAAATGGCCAACTTCCTAAAAAATTCTAGCAGACAATGGGTTATATGACTTAAAAACCAAGGGTTATCGAGATGAAATAAAACATATGTAAAATATTAAGCAGGCGAGAAACCTTTTCAGTGGGTTTAAAGGCCGTGTTGCCAGCAAGCGACCAAGTAATAATGGAGCCAGAGGCGTTCACTGCAGCCAAAGATGTGCCCTCAGCACTGATCGAAATTGAGTGGATTGGGCCAGCGCGCGGATCGGGACATATAACACTAACTTGCCCGTTTCGTAAATCCCAAGCGTAGATCTCACCCTTGTCATTACCGAAGAGTACTTCCATCTGATTTGGATGAAGAACCATTGAGTTTATGCTTGATGAACTCTAATAAGAACAGAAATCATGTAAGAGAATGTGTGGATGATAAGATAGATAAGAACAAGGCAATCGTATGGATAATTTCTGAAACTAGAGTATATTTCTTAGGATGAAAAGCAAACAAAGCAAGGACTAACGTAGCACGTCCCCGAGGCAGACTGCGCACTGTGACTGGAACTTCGCCAATCAAATATTTTCGCAACTTTGTCCTCGCCTCCTGCGTAGGTCCACCTTCCTCTCGCATCGTGACCAATGGCATTTACATTTTTCGAAAATTCCGTAACGACTGTCAACGGAGTCGCACCACCGAACACGTCATAAATTCGAATTTTTCTAAACCCGGCTGCTGCCAAGTAATGACCATCAAACGTGAAAGCCAATGAATTCACCTAAATAGTAGCTTCATTAAGACAATGAGAAAGGTACACCCAGAAAAGCACAAGAGGTACTAAAGCTTGATCGAGCACAAAATAGGAGGAGTAAAACTCCACATAGAGCACAATAACTACTAAAAATGGGAACCGCGCAAATTTAATGAAATATATGGGGGAACCCACACCAACATACCTGAGAATCATTATGATCAAAGCCCTGTATATATCTTCCCGTACTTGGTTGCCACATGCGTATGATATGATCGAACCCACCCGTAGCAAAGGATATAGACTGATCACCCACATCGTCTTTCATCCTCAAAAGTCGAGAGGTTAGTTACATAGTCGCCCACATGACCTTGGGCTTAACAATTAACACCACAAACAAAGCTCAATGCAAAAGAAATTTAAAAAGCCCTAAAAAAGAGAGGAGCCAGTGTGCTTTCCATTTTTTCAAAAGGTTTAAAGACACTATAATTATTTAAGTCCTCCTAGATAAAATTTCCAACATTGTATTACTATTTGTACAATAGGAAAATAGGCAAGGAAATATGCCAGGCTGATGAACCTGTTTTAATGCTTTGAGTCTTTTTGAATCCACAGCACTGTACTAGAAAACTAAATAGAGACTATGTCCTTCCCAAGTGGCATAAGAATTTTCTCGGATTGTCAGATTTCACTACAAAATCAGTGCTTGCTTTTGGCTTGAAAGTTGGTGACTTACACTTAGTCGCACAAGTGGTGTATACCGACTACCTGTAGCATTAAGGGCCTGTTCGAGCAAGCGTGTACTGTAATACCTAATCGAAGCTTGGCTTCTACAGACTTGATGTTATGGTTAGAGCGTTATACCACAAAATATCATTAGTCATGCAGACCACTATTATGCAGCATTCCGGGACTCCCTGAAGACTAAAGAAGACAAAATACTCAGGCAAAATATATTTTTAGCGCAGAGAAGTGTCTGGGCTATTGGCATGGCCCAAAAGGCCAGCCCACCAAGTGAGGTACAAGGGGGCTAATTCGAAGTACAAAAGTGGCGCCTCAACAATGCCAAGGGATAAACCACTATCGTATTACAATTACATCTTAACCTCATAGATTACAACAACTGAAGAGGCATTACACTTGAACAAGCTTAAACATCTTATTTTGTAGCTATCTGCAGTACGTGAATGTATATGGTGCTGGCACGAAGGGGGAGATATCGCCAATTGTACAAAACTTACATAGTTAAGCATGTGCTTAGGAGACACCGAAAAAGAAGTAAAGGATTCAAGGTAAATAGATGCAAGATATTAGCCCTCAGGTCTTGTCTTGAATTTTTATTTTCACCAGGTGGCCCTACCCTAAAGCTAAATTTCTAAGACTGGCGACAGACCTAGGTCATGTCCTTATTGGAGAGCATGACCTGACCCAAAAAGCACAAAGTCGGTGTCTTTTTCTTTATTTATAAGAGACTTTTGAATGAGACGGATCTGTGAATGCAATGGAATTGCCAAGATATCTTTCTGCTTGTAGTAGAGGTCAATGACTGCTTTGCTAGTTTGCTCGCGGTCTTCAATGCTTTGACAATATTTTGATGTTTGGCATAGGGTTTAACTAAAGGGGACTTCGAAGTCGAGGCCTATGGCTAAAGCGAATCCATGTGGTGATGTTAAAAATTTTGTCATGAGCTGGGCAGGCACCATTGTTTCCTCAGCCTTCATTTCCCCCTGCTGCATTTTCTTTAAACCACTTTGGTTCCTGTTAGTTTCACAACTCCCTACTTGGGCTAACTATGAATTAACGGACAATTTGGAAATTTCTAACTATGTGAGTGATCTTCTTCAAGGATAGATATAAACGCGAAATTGAGATGTAGTTCTATGAGTTGATTTAGCTGAGAAATACAGCGATTTTTCCAAAAAGGAACATTTACAGGTATCATCAAAAGTGAAGGTGGGATTTAACTCACGCGCTATTTTCGCAGCATACGGTGAACATACAATCGATTCATTCCATTGTGTTACCATATATTATTTTCCGTTTTTGAATTAATTGTTTAGCAGCAAAATTGTTGCAGGTTAGAGCAACATTAGCCACTTTTTTTGCGAGGTTTAAATGGCTTCTATGCTTGTTTTCTTGAACTGGCTGACCGCGCACTAAAATGCCGCCGCTTTTTACGGGTGAACCAATCAGGATCTTGATTACTTGTCCTTGCTGTTATTGTTGCCATACCGCAATCGGTTTGACGTTTTAAGAGTGAGGGATTACATCTTATCATGGCGTCTAGTCGTAAGAAGATACTACTCAAAGTCATAATACTCGGTGATAGCGGGTACTTGGTCTACATTTAGTTTCATTGAGCCTTTAGTGTTGGGAAGACTTCGCTGATGAATCAGTATGTTACTCAGCGTTTCAGTAACCAGTACAAAGCTACTATTGGTGCTGATTTCCTTACTAAAGAGACTATGGTCGATGATCGTGTTGTTACTTTACAAATTTGGGATACAGCTGGACAAGAACGATTCCAGTCCCTTGGTGTCGCATTCTATCGTGGCGCTGATTGCTGTGTTCTGGTCTACGATGTTACAATGCCAAATACTTTCAAAACTTTGGACTCCTGGCGAGATGAGTTCTTGATCCAGGCCAGTCCTCGGGATCCTGAGAATTTCCCATTTATCTTGATTGGTAATAAAATCGATCTTCCCAACAGGGCTGTAAGTTTCATAGTTCCGCCATTCAAGCCTTGGTTTATGTTACCGGAATCCTAATTTAAGATGTGTTTGCGAATACTTTGAACAATAGGATGGTATACACTAGCGTTTAGTTTTCAATGTTATGCTGTCGACAATTTTGAATGTTTTTCTTGCAATGATCTATTTTGGGTCATTTGGTAATAGACCGTTCGTGTTTGACCTATAATAATCGAGGGACTTTAGACGGTAGAACAATTGTCTTTAGAATCACCTCTTAACTCCATTGCTAATTTTCACTATTGAATCTAGTTTGCATTCTTTTAACATCCCCCCTATGCTTATTACGTATATTACTCTTACATTCTTCACGACACACTGTTAAAACCGCCACTCAGATAACGGAAAGACGAGCACAGCAATGGTGTCAGGCAAAGGGAAACATTCCTTACTTCGAATGCAGTGCTAAGGAAACGACGAATGTGAAACAGGCCTTCCAGGAAGTCGCTCGTGTTGCTCTCGCACAAGAAACCGAGGTATTTTCTTCCAAAAGTGTTTCGGATTCACGTTAATTATCCATCACTCCTATTTATTCCCACTTGAACCAGTTTTCATTCTTTGTTTTGAACTCTAGTAGCATTCAAAGTGCATTTTTGTTTGAGCAATTTTATGGTCTATCTTCTATTTTTATTGTACTATATCCTTTCATCACAATCCTGCTTTAAGTGTTGGTAAACATTCTTCTCAAACAAAAGATTGATAAAGTCCTTTTTTACAAGAGTAACTGTACACGATGTGCATAATATACCCAATAAGGGCTATTTATTGCCTATGCATGAGTTTTTAATCTGTTTTTTTTTTCACAGCCTGATACGGTGAATGATTGTCCCGAACAAATTCATCTTGGAGCTTCAAGAAACAATCGCAGTAGCGACTGTGGCTGTTGAAGCTGCGTTTCCTGGGTAGATAAATACTGCCACTTTCATATCTCAATAAAGACTCGACTGATTGATGCTCTCCGATCTGACTTTCCCAGCATAAACATCCACCTTCACTTCTCGTTTAATCGCTGTCACGTTTTTTTATCGCCTGACAAGCTAATGCGGGCCTCGCGTGTACGCGTTCATCCCCATGTAAATAATTATGCAATAAATCGATTCGACCAATCTCATGTCCTCCTCTTTGCCTGCGGCCTGTATGCATATCAGCGAGCCCCTTCAATCACCACTGCGTTTATCTGTTCTGTAAAATCAATCATACCAACAAGGTTCTTGCTTGTGCTAAAACAAATCTTATTGGTGTGCTGTTGCTGTGCAAACCCGAGAATTTATTAGTAATGGAACGTTAAATTTTACAAAGGTGGTGTTCTGCCCTCAAGATCTTTTCCTGACCTCGTTGTTTTACCATGTCGCGTTGAAATTAGATCTGAGTCTGTCTAACCCGCTTTATTGTGTAAACAATTTGAAGCTATTCCATTGGGGTGCGAACCTGTTTTGATGTTTCAATGCAATGCTTAGCCGATTGTTTTTGTCTCCACATGGTTAAATCATGAACTGAAGTTAGGCGTAATCGTCACTTCAACACTTTCTAATACATTTACTACCCAATTGCCACCGTTCCTAAAGGTGGTCGGTATTGGTCTTTTGATTTCCCAATCTCAATAACTGGTCAGAAAATTTGTGGCGAATGGTAATAAACCTCAAAGGCCGTTAATTTGTAATGGGAGGTAGCTTTTGTTCTCCAAATTTTAATTGCCTCAAACCTGCCTACTCATTCCTTTGCTGCTCGCCTCGCACTTCTAGACTATTCACTCTTCCTCACAAGACGAGTCCCCTTGCCTTGTGTGTGTGGTCTATTCTAGACGCATTCATTCACTTTAAGCAATTTTTCAAGGCCAAGGAATTAGGGTTGATGTCTGGCTACTTGACATGCCACGGATCAGACACGCTCAAGGAAAACGTATTGTACAGCGGTTAAGACTGGTTAATTAGTTGGTGGCGGTCCTATTCTTGCTGGTTAACGTAAAACATGCTACCACCAAACTCATTGATAAGATTCACACTAGGACAGGCGGGGAAGGGACGATGATGTGTATCACCTCCCGTTTCCCTCCAATACTTCTTGTCCGGGTAGTTACTCCCTCAGCTTACCATCAGGCGATCTCATGCAAAATGGAATAGACGGTTGAGAAGAGAAAGTCAGATGGAAACCGAGGTGGCTAAAGTCATGTTTTTAAACTTATGGAGTCAAATGCTTTATGACAGTGGAATTTGGAAACTTATTTTGTTGAAACGGATTGTTTTCCGGTGATTATTTCAAAGGCTCAAGTATTCCAAGAGGCCTTTTGCAGTTCCCTGATTTTTGTATGTGACCTCACAAACCTACCAACTCGGTTACCTCAAACGATTGCCGATTTTATCTCGCTTTGTGATTAATGTGACTCACCGACGCGGCTTTCGCTATGACGTCGCGTGCCTAAGGTTCCCTCTCGCTTGTCACGTATTTCGCAGCGTTGGATGCCACTTGTTTCCCGATTAGGTGTCCTCGATTTGTGTTTATATATTTTGGTCAAATTCTCTACTAACTCTGCGTTACACTTCATGGTTGACATCTCCTTGTACATAGGTTCAATTTTCGATCTCTGACACGGTGAACTGCATCCATGGTGAATAATAAGGCTGTGATGCGACTCCTATTGTAAAGTTTCAATTTGAAACAATGAGAAATCACCATATATTGGTAATGTCCAGTTATTCACAGTTTGCGATTTCAGATTTCGTCAAAGTGTTTGAACGGTATGTTGTCTTCAACTTCGCTCATGCTTGGGTCAGTGTTAAATTAAAGCGAGTTTTGTAAAGTTTTTTCAAGTTTTGAATACCTTACGGTTACTTTTGGTAATGTGAGTAGCTTCAGTGGTGCATGCCCTACGTGGTGGCTCGAAGAAAAAAGTTTCGACGTGATTCGCGGTTGTGGCGGTTAGAGCCCGAAGAAATCCCACTTACTGTACTCGCTTTATTTCTTCTCCTAGGTCAAAGCACAATTACGATTCAATGCAATATGTCGGAATGCGCCAAAGATAGTTTTTAATCCGAGTGCCATTATGTAGATTGCTTTTTACCTACTTGGTTCATCAGTTGATCTTGTCCCTCTGGTCTGACATAGAGCTATAGGTCACTGGTTCCGCTATTCACCCTAGTACACCGGCCATGTGAACGAACGGGTTGACGCACTTAATGGGCCAGCTCATCTCTGCAGGGTCACAACTATTTACGATAGTCCAAACTATTGAGTGTGAGAATGACCACGTCACATTCACGCCTTAGTTTACATCCTCGCTTTGATAACCCCACTTCGCTGTTGATCATCACGACACTTTTTAGCGGAGAGGGCGTTCATTTATTGGTTCAGCTTATTTGTGATAGAAATCTGCACACTCAGTTCTGCGATCTGGTTGTAATACTTAGGGGAGCGTGATATGATCATAGTAAAAAACTTGCACTGAGTTGAGCAGATTTTCTTTTTGTTTACGGGTGAGTCACCTTTTATGGGTTTAGGGCAAAAGGTAGCATGAATTTTCACTAGAAAATATCCATAAAACCTGACGAAGGTCAAATTTTGCGGTCGCATTTGAAATGAGCTGTTTTTCTAGTTCGTCATTGGATCATTTCCTTACAGAAATTATCTGGAATTTAGATCTGATGGGATAGAAATGCAATTTGTTATCTTTTTGAGGTCTCGGAATGAAAAGTTGGTGGCTTTGTGAGTAGACTCGTCAAATTCTGTCGGCTGCTTATTTCATCTCTGCGTAACCATGCTGTGCTTGGTGGTAGCGCTAGTTGCTGAAGTCAGCAGGCACCACTCGTTTAATCACTTGGGCAGGTGTGAAACTCATTCGATTGACACAGTGTTTTTCTGTAATTCTTTCAAACGCCGATGCTCTTCCTTTTCTATGAAGTACCGGTTCTCTACCTCAAGCGACATTTCGTTTTTATTGTCGGCTACGCAAATTGGGGATGAATGCTATGGGATGGTTTGCAAGTGCGGCTATTTCATTCCAAACTTCGTTGACGAGACATTTGGTGTGGAATACGAAACGATGTTGTAAATACTGCTAGCACTCAAAACTGATTGTTTTTGACAGCCTTGTTCGCGGACCTAGTGTGGACTCATTTTCAGAAAAAACTTATTCACCGATATGGACCTCTTCAAAATCAGTTGTCTGTTAGCAGCATAAAGCTCTATTGTCTGAGCTGTGCTAGTGCACATCTCTGAAATTATCCTGCAAATATGTGGGGCAGGTACTATGTAAATTACAGCATTTTCATTTTTCTCTAGCGAATCTATTTCACCTCACAAACTGAAAGGTCCAAAGATGTAATGTTTCACCTAAGTTGGGGAGTTTTAGGTCTGATGGACTTTAGGGTGCTGGGATTCCATTATACTTTCTGGTGTTTAATAATTATGTTCATTCCATTGATAGTACCTTAAGCCACTCAGATAACGTGAATTTGGGAGGATTTTAGTTTTGTAAAATGTAATGCAACAATTCATATTTGTGCAAATGGAGTGGTAATATATTTTAGAATGAGTGACAAATCCGAGGTACAAACAAGGGACCATAAGGATCTGTGGGAGAAGCAGAATTGTTTGAGCTGCAAGATATTCGGCTCAACGACGTGCCTAGCCATGGCTGGATACACAGCCTACTGGAGTCTGCGACAACAGGCTCAATATCGCGGCCTTACTCGTCTAACCTATTCGGCCTCGTGCTTTGCACTTGCCTCAGGTTAGCTTGATGACTGCGTATTCTAAATGGCGTTTACTAGTACAAACTATTAAAATGGTTTTTTTTATCATACTGTATTATTGGAACAATCCTTTGTCCACTCTATCTATTTCAACTACTTGGTGGCCTACTATTCCGCCAATGAGTCGACTCAACATTATCCTCTCAAGTAAAGGTGATATCTGGAAAACCACCCCCTATTCTGGACGTGTAGAGTATCCAGTGCTAAGTACTTTGGTTTTAAGACCACTAAGAGTCTTGTCATATGTACGAAGTGAAAGTATAACTACAAATTGAGTAGAGTATAAGCAGACGCGTTTTTGTTAAACTGAATACCTACTGAAGGTCACGACAAATATACTTTAATGTGAATTTCAGCATAATTCGGTAACATACTTAAGTAACAAATGCAATAAATACGACGCATCACCATACTTATTGTCCCGATTGTGCTTTCAAGTGGGGAATTAATACCTTAGTAGCTAGTCTCGATGTGTATGCACGTAGGTCCACAGCACACCACGTGTCGCCAGTATTGGCGATTCTGAATTACCTTGAAGTAACCCTCACTGTCTCTCCCAACTCCATTTTTTAGGTCTAACATATCTGGGAGTGAGGCGTATCCTAGACTGAAGGTCTTCACCAATGATTAATGTACATATCGTGTCAAATAACGATGTTATTCTTGCACTTCTTTTCTGAAGCTATTCCCAGGTATCACGTGGTGGACTTGAAATGCCATTTTATTTGGATGGAAGAAAATGCTCGAGATTGAATGCGTAAACTGAGCTAGAATAAAACACGAAGGTCGGCTTATACGGAATCGGAAAATAGAACTAGAGAAACTGGGAAAAGCGTGGTTAAATCTAAGAATTTCTTTACGCAAGCGGGTGGGCGCACCTTTGAGTTTAAACCAGAAATGTAGCAATTGATATTGATGAGCAGGAGACCGCATATCCTCATCGATACTTACATGGTCCAGTCTTATTTACACAAAGTACATCAAGCCTGTACAAGATTAATTAGCAGGAGTGTGGGCTACTGCGTGTCAGTTGACATTAAATAGGGACTTGGTGAGTTGTACTCGATCAGTATCTCATTTGCGTCGTCAGGATAGACATTCTGATAGGAAGGATTTGGACCGGGGCCGTCACCCGCTTCAGAGATGATCGCGGCCTTACCTTGCTTCCAGACGGCAACGACGCATTTAAGCACCGACATATTCTGCACGAACAGATCATCGTTGGATACTTCTGCGATGTCTCTGATTTCCTGAAGTGTTGAGTTTAGCTGTTCCTCACGTTCAACCCGGTGTTTTTCTCCACCAATAAAGGACAGCTGATTACCGTTTGTCGTTTTCTTTAACCGACTTCGCATATTTTTAAGATCTGTCTTCGTGCAAACCTTTCCAAATTGCTCTAAAGTCGTAAATCAAAAGTCTGACTTTACTCTTGATTATATCCAAAACAAGACTATTGTCGTAGGGAAGCCGTAACAGTTCGTCAACGGCTTCCTGTTCATGTTTGTCTAGACGGCGGTTTCGAGGGTAGAGTTGGGCAGATTCCGAGGTAACGGGGTGGTTGTGACGCATATCGAAGCTAACAATCCGCAGATGACCGTTCGAATAGCTTATACAAATCTGTGAACTGCATCCGAGTTTTGAAGTTCTAAGAAACGTACATTAATGCATGAAACAATAAATTACCGCTGATTTTTCCGCTTAGTTGCAGAACTGACACGCGTGCCATAGTGGTAGCAAACATACTTTATGTTACTATAGACCATCGAATTTCTCATCGGATGACCCTCGGGAAATCGTTTTGAGTTAAGTTTTACGTAGAGCGCACCTGTGGACTGAAACAATTACCTGGATGAAGACTCACGCTCTCAAATTGATGTAATTTATCAGACAACTCAGCTAAGGTAGCGAATGCTGTTGAATCGAAAAATTTCAGAAACGCTGCCGTCAAATTATACCCCGACATTCCATCTACAGCAGAGTAATACATATATGCATAATAACCCACCACAGTTATCAGCTTCGTCACTTTCTTGTGACACTTCACAGCTGTTTGCTGTGCCAGGCCTGAGATTCGAGTGCAGCTGATGAAGCATATCATATGACGTTATTTTAAGTCGATTATCAGCCACACACAGTTCCATGTATGATGGACAGTCGAGTTCTGGACCACTGAAGTAACTTAATACCACACAAAAGTAAGTTATACCTCAAAGCCCTGGAAGCAGATGCATTGGAATTAGATTTGTGATGAGAACAGACGAGACGAATATATTCATAGGTAAGATTACGAGCTAGTTCCGAGCCTTCTGGCAAACTTTTGAGCTTCTTTACGGTATAAACAACCCCCGTTCCCTACAAATGATCTAGTACAAATATAAAACTTGCCTTTTGAAATTTCGATAAACACCTAAAGAAGACATCAAAAGACTCATAACACAACGGAAAAAAGGTTCGTAGGAATTCTGGTTCAAGATTCATTGCAAGATAAAACCTCACTTATTGTCACACAAAAGCATCGAAGCACACAAGGTCCAATGTTAGCGAGCTTATTCAAAATAGCCGTGTGCCAGTAAACTGAATCTTTGAGATACATAACGTTCGTTTTGTAGGTACAAAACAACGAAAATAACATCTCATTTTGTTCTTGGTTTTTTTGAAAATAAGTAAAATCACCTCTAATTTTGTGTTGTTACATTTCTAAAGTCGTTTTCACAGAAAATCGGGAAACAATAAATTACCAGATACTTGGACAGTTTTTTATAGCCCTGAATTTGTTCTTTTTTTGAATTTACGAGCTGTCTTATGTAGCTATTTGGTAGTTTAGCGCCCCCCACTCCCTGAAGTTGCAATAAGCAGATATATTACGGCATAACTGGTATTGCTAACGCAAATAAGGGCCAAAAGTCTGCTGACATGCAAAACTATGCGTCGTGGAAGCCGAAGTACCCACTAATCTGAAATCACCACACCTGTACATCATAAATCGGGCACATTGGGTAATAAGAGGAGCTACCCCTATTAGCAACAAGGAGCAATTTTTCCTGAATGTATTATTTCGAGTCTGATTTTGGTATTAATTAATTTGACCGTTCTTTTTAATCGCGTTTAAATGCGTGGTGCAAATCATCGCCCAGAATGGATAATCTCCATAGGAATTCATGATCTCAATCACAAAGTACCGACTTACAAACGACTCGCATCGTTGATTTGATACGTTTGTTATCTATAACTTAAACCCATGCCTTAAAAAAGTTTTGCTTGACTGTACCTCATTTCGGTAGTATCCGTATTTGAATTTCGTATTGCTGCATCTACTGGTCTCATATGTTCATTAATATATTTAGCGCAGCATTCTCTGCATTTCAACACGGGTCCCGTATTTATTTGATCGTATGTTTAACTGTGCGCTCATCTCTGCAGACTGCAGATTACATCTCCACTTCCCGACATGATGCCTCACCCATGCCCATAGATTTTCGACCATCCTGCACATTCATAATCGTGCCTTTCCCGTAACTGTTTGGTTTAGTGGTGCTATAGGGGTGACTTTGAGACATTTTGAGCAAGTTGGTGCAATAGCTGCAGTAGTGACTTTGCGAAATTGAGTCAAAAGTGCTAAGCTCTTTTAGATCTTTGGTGTCGATATATAACGACATTGTGTTTATTCGTTAGCTAAAATCAGTTGGTTTTCACCCAAAAGTTTCGGCAACTGTTAGTAATGATTGCATTAAAATATACCATTTAAAGTATATATGATTAATACTCGTTCACATGTATATTTAGTGACTTAATCACAAAATAATGGACGCAGACGAAGAGAATTTTGCTTTCTTTTGAATTTGGTTGCAACAACTGCAGTTACCAGATTACACAAGTGTGAGTGTAATTAGGATACCAAGGGCTGATCTTTGATACCTTCATTGCACATTGTTGCAGACGTGACTGTGTGCTAGAGCCCAGTAATTCCTACTCTCGCGAAAGGATGAAGTAGACTTCCGGGATAAGCCGCAGTGAATTCAAGTAGAGGTGCCAGCACTTTCCTTCCCCCTTCTGAAAGTGTATGCTTCCTTCCGTTTAATTCATTTCCCCAGAAATTACACCTTTTCTATTATCATATTTCAGAATATCTGAAAAGACGTTACTTGATAGGAGATTTATGTTCAGCAGTAACGAGCTGCGGTACTTTTTCAACTTTTGCTTTTATACGCACAAGCGAGGTCACTGGCTATTTACTGCCCAATGGCAATCAACGTGAAATAGCTGGTATGTTTACATCCCTCTTTTTGAAAACAACTACGCAATTCTTTACTCCAAAGAGATTATACTTTTTAGAATTGTGTGTAATAAACGTTTTTGTTTCAGACCTAAGTAAATGAATTGCGTAAATTATTTATCCTCATGAACGCCCATCATTGCCAAAAGGAACTTCCTTTGGTCACCAGAGGTGTCGCCTTTAACCATATCTTCAAGACTTGTATCATACATTTCGAGAAACTCCTGCTTAATTTCGGCTAAATCGGTCTAAAGGCAAGTAAAATGAAAAAATTCAGATGGTTAATCGAACATGAAATCTGCCTTAGTTGGGGGTGTTGAGAAACTCGGGAAGAAATGAATCCGATCGACTACTCCGAACTATTTAAAGAAATTTTAAATGAGTTAAATATTAGTACTGTAAATTCCACTTTATCAACCTAACTACTGAATACCAGTAAATATCCTAACTGCGGCACCTCAGTAGTCAAAAGTAGACTTATGTTAATGGTTGACACGGCTGAATGATCTGCAGTAATGTGCGCGAATTTCCAGGAGGGTTGGGTGAAAGGCTCGATTCACTCACATTGCAGTGCGCCATGATCATGCGTACAAGATTCTCGTCATGTGTGCCGACTCCCTTCATGGATTGGTAAAGCACTTCCGCATAATATCTTTTCCTGTTCAATGCAGTCTTCACTGAAAGAGATAGTTTACCAAAAGCATTCGTTCCCGAAATGCTGGTTGCAAAAAATGATTTGACAGGCGTATTATGCACACTTACATAAGGCGAGAAGAGCATCTCGATAGTCTCCTGAGGTTTCTTTCTCAACTGTGGTGAAGAGGTCGTTTCCGACAGCCTGAGGGAATAACGAATAATTTACAAAACGTAACGATGAAAAAGACTTCATAGAAGCGGACGTACTTCAAGATAGAGCGTTGCAATACCGATGATTTCTTCCCATGGGCAGTTTACAAAAACTTTGGTAAAGATTGCCTCATCGGTGCCAAATTTGCTGAAAAACGTGAATATTCAAGAAATTGTGGTAGTGTTGTTTAAAATAGGAGGCGTCATTCAAAGTTACGAGGGTCTAAACCCTTCTTCGCAGTTTTAGCACTTTTTAAACACTGAACCGTTTGCAGTGCAAAGCAGTAAATAGGCTGCTTATATGTTGACGGTGTATATCAGATCCTACATTTGAGTATTTACGAAACTCATGTTTCACCTACGCCTCTCCTGCTTGGTAGAGAGATTCGCAGTCCTTCACAACGTCGTCCTTGGTGAATTTGCTCCTGCGTTTTCCTTGTAGCAGTGCAACCAGCACGCGCTCAAAATCACCGCTGACATCGTGAATAACATCCTGTTCCAACGATCTTCTAGAGACTAGAAGAGGATAAATCATACAATTAAGCTTCCTACCGAAATTTATGACACAAAATAAGTTTTGAAAAACAACCCCTATGAATATTCAATGTCGCAGGCTTGGATGAGAATACAAATACGAGAGCGTTTTGAGTTATTAAAGTGCCTAAAGATCAAATTTACGGAGCTTCTAATTTAATAAAAAGCCACTGCGTATTTTCTGGGTTATGTACAAAATGCATTTTTAATGAAACTAATGCAACTAGTTTAGAGTTCTTCCATAAAGAAGGAAATTGTATTTCTTATCTTATTAAAATATATTTTGAATTAAATTAGCTAATCAAAATTAAATGAGTATCATTTTAAGGAACCATTTTAAATGTAATGTGAAACCAAAACTTACGGTTTTGACGTTTTTCTCTGAGGACTGAAAAGAAGTCGAATTATAGCAATTAGGCAGTAAATAAACTGAATAATATATGAAGCAAATTTGTATCGGCACATAAAAGTAGAAAGCAGAGACGAAATAATAGCGGTCAAGTTTGAGCTACCGTCTGTGCCTGTTATCAATTACAGCATAATACTCATTAAATTCAACTAGTTTTCCGGAAAGAATCGTGCCTACAGCGCAAAATGAAAACTGTGCGATAACTCACTATCATTATAGGCCTCCTTCAGTTCGTGAATTTCCTCATTACTACTTGAGCAGATCACATCAATCAAGATGGTCTCATCGGTGCCGAGTCCCTTCATGGCCCGATAAAGCGCACTGGCATTGACGTGTGCCTTATCGTAGAATGAGTAGAGGACGGCCAAACGGAAGTAGCCACTAAGTTCCTTGTGAAGGGTGTTTTTGAGATCCTGAAGTTGAAGGAAACTTTTTGTTCATTTTACGTAGCATATCCCCCATATTGGTTCAAAAGCTCAATAAATAATTTTAAGGAGGTTCCAATTACCAATCATCACTTAAATTAATGAATCAAAATACAATGATAATTTTGTAGACGCACCATTCCATACACAGCCTTGAACGTCTTTTCGATGACTTGTCTTTGTTCAAGCGAGCGATGTGATAAGACGTCGATAATGGCATCTTCATCAGTTCCTAACACAAAGACAGCAAAATGTTCAACCATTTAGCTGCTTAACAAAAGATTTGTGGCAGGGCTATTTTTGATAGCATAATTACTTCACAGTGTTTGCAAAAGCAGCCCTGAGAGATGAATTTACGAATGGTACATGACACTACTTGGAATTCCTAGAATCTGTGCTTTAAGACACTTTTAAAAAAAATGCCTGTCTCGACATCGAGCTCACTTCTGATTGACATGTAGCCTTATGCATTGGGATGGCCGCTCAGTATTTTTATGTCCAATCAGTAACCGACCTCAGACGCAAAGCATATAAGCAAAGCAAGATGTTAAATTGCAAAAGGTTCCAATGTGAAAAGACAACTATGAAATTGATTGCATAAGTCCCCTGATATGCAGCTGCATTCATCATCATCTCTTGAACTGGATTATAGAGCAGTCAGAGTGCACTAACAGTGTTTTTTATTAAAACTTATGAGTACACCTTCAGGTAGTTAGTCTCACTCCAAAGTTTCGAACTCCAAAAACACATAACCAGTTGAAAGAACAACCTATCCAGCACCAGAACTTGAATGTGTAGCAAAAAAGCAATTAAGCCAAAGCTTCTCACCTAATCCCTTCATAGCATTGTACAAAGTCTCGGCATCTTTATGCGCATCGAAGTTGGGAGCTGCATGCACGGTGGCCATTCCGAAAGCAAAAGTGATCGGTGAGGGACAGGAGCACAAACTGCGCCGGTAGGGACTTGGTAGCGCCTCGAGAGTGAAGTACAGATTTTATTTCCAGCCTAAAGCACTCACAGTGCTCAATCAGCGCCTTGAGTGGTGGATGCCGTCGAAATTGAGAGGCTCTCCGCGAGGCGCACCGGCGCAGTGGCGTGGCATGCGCGGGCACGCACGCACTCGCACACGTCGCAGAGGCACTTGCGATGTGCAAATTCCAAGGCCTTGAATGAAATTAATGAGACCTGTCTTGTGTATGTTGGTACATAATGCAGAGCACACAACGTCTTTTGCATCCTTGATGCTATTAACCCCATTCGGACCATCGGCTCTATGGGAGGAAACTCGAGGTAAAGTGGGAGTCCTGAAATGCTCAACTTTAATCGCATACCGATGGCAGCTCTAGATTTATTCCATGATTATTTTCTCATAGGTGTAAAATGGATGGATAACCCAGGTTTTTCGGTAATACTTACAAGTAAGTCTAAAAAAGTAAAAAATTTACTTATAGGAACTTGGGCAATTGTGAGTACACAGAAACAGTAAAGTTAATGATTCGGCCCTCATTGTCAAAGCAAGGCGATAAACTATGTGAAATAGGCTTCGCACCACTTTGTATCGTTGAAATTTGCTACAATGTATGCAGAATCTCGGTCACCACAACACTGCATGATTGGCATTTGTAAGCCACAGCAGTTTGACAAACGCCGTTGTCTACCTACTCATGCAGTACACAAATATGGATGCATACAACCTCGGCTTGCCCAGTGGTTTCCAGTCATTAAAAAACTAGATGAAAGCATTTTTCTTACAAATTACTTTTACTGTGGTCTGCCGAATTACTGAACTTGTATTGGATTGTTATAGACTCTGAAGACAGGTTCTGTTAAACAACAAGCTTGCGAAGAATAAGGAGGGCATGATATAACGCTGACTCTAATTTGACACTTTATGCAACATTCCATGAGTAATTTTATGGCTTCTCATTTTGGCCACGTTCTATGAAATTTTAGGCAACCTTCTATGCAAAATTAAGGGTTGCACTTTTTTGAGATAGGAAGCATCGCTTTTACAGCAGTCTGGGCAATTAAACACTCCTTTAAATAAATTTAATGCAGCGACTTTGGAGCTGGTTTTCCTCAGAACTGTCAGTATCAAATAATTGAATTTCCTCAGAATTACATTCAACCCTCTTTGCCCGTGAAAGCTTTTGTTGGGGATATTTTGACTGTTGTGAATATCCAATAGCAACCATCCCCCGATTTTACTGAAACCGTTTCCATGTGTTGAGAAGTGAAAAGGGCATAAATCGAGAGGTGGACTTGCAATCGTGCTGCACTCACCACCGTTGAAATTGTAAACGAATTAGTCAACACATCCAACATTCAAATGCTCCTTTTAAATGTGTATTTTGCTGTAAAACCAATTGAAATTAAACCACCTCGTGCAGGAAAACTCATTAAAGTACACGTATTGAATCCATAAAATCCACGAAATAACTTGGGAATGAAGACACAAGTCAGCTGAAGAGATAACCTTTCTTCTTGAAAAGTAAATGAAAATACTATATAACAGCAATGCATTGTAAATGTCGCAGAGAGTATACACAAACGTGGGGCGTCAATTTCCTACCATATGTATTGGAATGTAAATAAGACTGTTTAGTAAGTTATGATGGGAAAACACTGATTGTCTGAGTGCTCTCCACATTTCTCAGGAGTAATCGATGCCAAACCTGCAGTAGTCTTTCAACAATAGCGGAAGCTACTAGACAACTCACTCAGCCAAATTGAACTTGTCAATGTGTACTCCAAACTACTCACAGCACCATTGAGGAAATGAAAGCAAACAGACTAAACACTTATAAGAACAGGCCTTCTTTAATCGAATCCTTCACTTGAACCTAAGTTGCGGTTCGTTTCCCTGTCCGTGATACTTAAACCTTTGGGCATACATTGGCTCAATTTTAGGGAACCTCTACTTGGTTTATTTAGCCCTTAGGTACCTTCTGGTAAACAGCCATTCCTTGCTATTTTACTCCAGCAACTGACGCTCTCAAAGCCACTGTTCAAAGTTATCATTCAAAATGTCAAAAAAATCCAAATATGGTGTTTCAGTAGGTTAGCATCTTTCACTTATAATTGCTTGTCTTATCGAAAACTAGGGATTTCCTTTGTACACAAACTCAAAATACGTCTGCATGTTTGGTGTGCAAGACCCGGAAATCAACGGTCGCTACAAAAGGCAGATATATGAAGGCCACTTTGAAATGACTTCATATACATTGGAATAATTCTCTTTAAATTACTAGCATTTTAAAGAAAGAGTGTATGCTCTTTAAGGCTTTAGGCTGCTTGCATCCAGCTTCAATTCTCTCGAGGATTGTACAAGGATAGCAAAGAAGTTGGCATTTCACTCCGCATAGACCCACGTATGCAGAAATAACTTATTTTAAATCAAACAGTGAAACACAAATCGCAATGGCTTTCCAACTAGAACTGAGGGTGGAACGAGATGGTTTTTACTGCACGTATGTAGAGCGAGTTGTACGCAAATTGCACTTGAAAGCATTCAAAAATAAATCCGAATTAAAGAAGTGCTGTAAAATACATGTGATTTCATCCTCGTATGGTAGTTGGCACCACATGATCTAGCGGTTGAGGCGACTCATCAACCAGCCAAATAAGATGGTGATCGAGTTCACTTGACTGCTCCTTTTCAAACATGCCAAGGTGCTCCTTGCAGCTACTTTTTGGATGACCCAAAGAATGACCTCATTCACTTTTATTGTACGTTCAGTGTGTGGTATCTGCGATTTGGGTAATATTTACCTATATTCCATTTAGAAAGCATTTTTATAAGTCAAAGCTGGTTTTTCTAAAGCTATCCGAGATATTATTTCCGCAGTACGTCTTTCCTCCTCACTAAGCTTCTCACTTACCACTTCAAGCCTTAAAAAAGGTTTCGAAAGTCAAAAACATAATGAAGAACCATCGTTCTTGGCCTCTCTTTTTTTATGCTCTTGGAGCATAAACGATAATGTCTAAAGCCAAAATATGCCGTGATTATCTTCCAATTTACTCTACGAATCCCCTAAGAATATTCAGACTGACGTGAGAAAACACTGTGTTCCTTTAAAAAGCATAAAATTTGCAATGGACTTCCATAAATATGTGCGATAATCCTGATTAATACAGTCTAAGGTGTCGGCAAATTAGGCGATCGACTGTCAGTATGATACTAAGATAAAGAACGAATGAAATAGGCATCAAACACAACAATGTGCACATTCAGAGCATTGCCAAGACATAAAAGATGCCTAGGTATGTCATCAAAACAGTATGACGGAGTGATTAAGGGCAGGCGCAAAATCCTTTGATAATGAATAAACTGTGTCGAGGTGCAAAACATTAGGACTCAATTTACAGAGTGAACGATTAGACAGTCTGGCTTCTGTGGAGCCAATTCGGTATTCAGAATGCTCATAATTTATGTCAAGAATGCAAATGTATAAAGTGTGTAAAGTTAACTCAGGAGTCTGATCTTGTGTTGCTTATAAAACCACTGTACTTTGTGTTGAGACTCGCTTTCATAGACCAAGAGGCAGCACAAACGCACATGCGCGTTCTCCCCGACCCGCACTCGAGAGGTCAGGGTCAGTGGCGCCCATGAGTGGTGCGATGAGTGACCCCAACCAATGGCTGTACAGCAATCAGCCGCTTACAGCCACATACCAGTTGTCCCGCTCTAAATTGCCTGATGAGGGCTTTCAAGCTTACTGCCGTCTTCGCTAGGGACTTTAATTTTTCCCCTTCTTAGTCGGGCTTCGCGAGGATGGCACAAAACTAGTGCCATCTCAAGAGTGCAACACGGATCAAAGCCCTAGGCTTTACAGTACTGCTAGCTCTGGTTAGGTTGTTAATTCTCATTCATTTTGACAATGAAATCCTCAGAGATCGTTGACTTATTTTTTCAAAGCTACGTATGATTGTTCGTATATTAACATTTGAGCATGCAATGGGAGGCATTGGTAAGAGAACAAACTGATTAGCTACACATAATATATCTTAAAAAACATCTAACTAAACCAAAAGATTCATTTGTTCTAAATACTGCCTCTAGCGTCCATAAAGTGCGGTGCAAATCAAGGCTTAGAATGGCAAACGATTCATAGTTTTCGTTGAATCATTGGTGCACATAAACGGCGTTTGCCAAAAAACACAATTTTATTGATGTGTTCATTGAAGCTCAGGAGAGGGCTGAGATTATGCTCAAGTTAAAGATGCCACATTTGATTTTGGCACGTTCACCTTCGCACACATTCAAATTAGAGCGGTTGACATTCAAGAAGCAACTGAATAATTCCATAACCATAATTGTAGGGCTCATATTAAACAACTACATTGCAAAACCTGATGTGAAATATTGCAAACTGCTCTATATTCCACAATAAAGGTATGGATGTGTAGCTTTTGAGAAAGTAGGATATACCGCGTGGGTAGTTTTATCAAAGCTTCGAGGTGATAAAATGAAAGTAACACAAATGTTGAATGGAACGCCGCAATCATTTTTCACCAAGTATGGCGAGAAGAAATTTCTTGTAATTGCCTGATGTGTCGTCTTTCACCATTTCGCGCAAGTTTTTCCTTGTGTATTTTATATTGAAAACCCGTTGAATTTCTGCCAGGGATGTCTAAGAAAAGCAAATAAAAAAGGCTTTTTCAAATTCGCTTTGATGCCGAAACCGTATCAATCCAAACTAATGCTCTTAAAAGGAAATGTTCTGGGGATAAACAAATTTTATGGGAGATTTTCCGTAAATACGCCATCGAAATTAGCCAAAAGTGCACGGTTAATGTTCAATTACTTTTGGAAAAGGGAGCAAGCCGGAAAGAAAGATAAAGTAAAGCGGAGTTATCGAATGCACCGATGTTAAAATACAATGATTTTTCTAAAAGGAAAGCTTTCCCTAAAAAGCAGCAAATGCTCTAACTTTTAGGTAGAAATGTAAACTTGCCTCCGAATAGGCCATTATAACTCGAATTAAATTGTCATCATGAGTCCCGGCTCCGGCCATACAGTTGTACAAAATGTCCGCAATACATTCATTTTTATTAACTGCCGTTTTGACTTGAATAAAAGAGATAAGATGTTAAAGAACTACATCACCAGAAGACCAGCAATGTAAGTTCACAAACTACCTATGGTGATAAGTGCTCGCATGTAATCCCCAGAGGTTTCCTTTTCGATCGCCCTAAGCAAATCATGGCCAGCTAGCTGAAAGGGCAACAGAACTGCAAATCAGGCTGAGTAGAGTAGTAAAATGAGCTAGTTCAATTCGAGGTTGGAATGACATCACAAGTGCGCCTTTGTAGCACACCGCTGGAAAGTATTTACTTCGCCGTGCGCCAAATATTGTGGTGGATGTAGATTGGCAGCCCTGGATTATTTACTGGAGCATCGGTAGGCAGATTAAAGGGTGGCATAAAATGAAGAGTGACTTAAAAGTACTTGGCAGTGGAAAGTATATTGGAGAAATTGCACGAACCTCTTTGTAGGCTTCGTTGATAGCACGGATTGACTTGAAGCTACGCGTAACCAGAATCCGCGTGAACAAGGATTCATCCGTTCCTAATTTTCTAGAAATAATTGTTATGGGTTTTCATCGTTCCGATATCATTTGGCCACAATACGAATGGGCTCTGGAGTGCTTACTGCTTTTTTATAAATTAATGACGGTCTCATATTTGTGCGGTTAACTTATCATTTACAAATAAAACCAGGAAAATTTCAAATTTTACTACTTTATTGCCCTCAGATGCATTAGGGTTACTGATGCAGTCGGGACACGTACTCGGTACTTACAACTAAATGGATTCACTTTATACGTCCTGAGGTAATTTAACCTTAATCAAAACAAGCTTCATTTGTATTTCATAATCTTCCCCGATTCGCGTCACTCGAGAAATGCAACTAATTGTCTATTCAAGACCAATTCTAAACTTGCTTGGATATAAAGTCTGATTTACGGGTATCGAAATGCATCAAACTGTTTACAAGTGCACCTTTGTTAAATATTGAGGCAATACTACTTCCCTAATAATGACCACGATTTCATTTCATTGGCTTCGACAATTGGAGCACAGCCACCACTCACTTCTCGCCCCCACTGTAGAGGGCCTCGGCGTCCTTATTCACTTGAGCCTGGTTAAATGCGGTCTCGCGTTTCCCTTGCAGCAAAGCCACCAACACAAATTCCAAGTCGCCCCTCACATCGCCCTTCACATCAGCTTCGAGATTGTGCCTCACAGCTGATGGTAGAACACACAACTTCGTAAACGAATTGATAAATGCATATTTACAGCCTTTCACTATTCTTGTGGATTCAGTGAACCATCGCGACACTACTGTCTCCAACATTTTGCAGTATCTCCGTTTTAAATTTTTGCAATTTGATTTATGTAATGCGCAACATGCACAAGTCTTTGTCCCAAGGTGCACTGCTTGACAAATTCCATTTAAAAATGCACCATTAATAAGGAATAATGAATCCAAATTACAACTGCATAATACGGGTAAACATCTTCCTAGGACTCACCACTTTGCCCTTCCTCCAGTAAGACTGAATGAAAAAAAGAAGACCTATTAGTTTCATTGTGAACAAATGCTTCATTACCATGCCAATTTTAAGCATCGAATGCAAATTACTTTCGACTAAGGACAAAAAACGGCGAACTTATTTCTGTCACCGAACTTGGGTCTTAGAATACGCATTGGCGTCTTGCTCGTCCCTTAATGTTTGTGCAAATGAACTTCGTGACAGTTCGCATAATTGAATAGAAATAAAGTGGACTCATGGTTACACTTTCGTAACTTCATTAACACATCTTTACAAACAGTGGTAAATAATTGTTTTTGAAATATCCTCAGGTCCACTAGCGCCTTTGTGGTTTGAAGTGTGGAACAAATATCGCAGGTTCTTTTACAGTGCTTCGTGTGTACTCACTGTCACGATAGGCTCTCTTGAGACTGTAAATTTCCGCGTTATCCGACGTGCAAATCACGTCAATCAGAATTTGCTCGTCGGTGCCCGGACCCCTTATAGACTTGTAGCAGGCCCTTGCGTTCACATGAGCCTTGTCATAGAAGGAGCAGAGCACGGCTCGCCGGATGTCACCACTGAGGTGTCTACGCAGCCTCCCTTGCAGATCCTCCAATACACCACATTCAGATTGACACAAGTTCAACAGAAGCAAGTTTAGCAGCAAGGTTTGCAAGTATATACCTACCTTGCCATAAGCAGCTTTATAAGCCCTGGCAATTTCTTGTCTTTGTTGAACTGTACGATTGGCCAAAATATTTATTATTTTCTTTTCATCGGTACCTATAATGGCTAGATAATTGTTAATTCAATAAATATTTCCTCGTATGCTATAATTGTATCCGTCGTTCATGTCGAAATATACCGGACCTGATCTATTGCCATCTAATGCTATCAATGCCCACGAAGTGTTCGGTTGACTTGCCAGCCAAAAATGACCTGAATCATTGGGCAGCTTTTGGCTTAGTTACAGTGCGAATTATTGAAATAACTATGGCTCTATTTTTTTCAAAACGCAAGAGCATTGTGTGGCTGGCAAAGGGCCAGAAGGTGTGAGCTTATTTTTTGTGTTTGATTAATATCCAAAGGCGCTGGTGGTTAACAGTCAATGGTTCCTATCTCTTAACCTTTAAAAGTAGTAATGGAACAATTACCGCAGTTGATATGAAATATAATTAAAAATTCTCATTTTTAAGGATCAATGTAATTATACAACTTCGATTACACTTTTGAAAATGTAATGAGACGTTTGCTATACTGAGCATCCTGCTACGGAGGCAGTTCAATTGGAGTTTATTGACCTCTGGTTACACAAATGTGTAGGCTACAATCAAACTTCAATTGTCAAACTCCAATCTTATGTTATTAGGCTTGGAATTTGTACATTTAAGGTAAAGTTTTTATCAAACATCTTACAATAAATAATGGATAAAAGTTCCAAGGAAAGTCAAATGATGTGGAAACAGAATTTGCGTTTCCCAAATGTTTTACTTATACTGGCTTTTCCAGTGTTTTTTTTTCTTTAATATGAAGCAGGAAAACAATTATTTTAACCCCATTAACTTAAAAAGCCCTCCGATTTCGTGTAAAGGATGAACATACCAATGCCTTTCATTGCCTTTTCCAGTTCATTTGCGTCTTCGCTTGCGTCCATGTAGGGCGCTGCTAAAACCGTGGCTCCCGTCTGCATTCGGGCACTAAACAACTGTCAGATTGCATTTATTTAGCCAGAGCATGTATTAAAAAATGCATCTGCATGCTATTAAACAGCCAGAATGGATTTTAAGACTGTACTTTGTTTCTCAACAGCTATTTTATGCTTATTAATGCCACTTAAACGGAGTTAAAATGAATTTCGCATTATCGTGTGGTGAAAAAAAAGCGGGTGCGGTAAATGCTAAAAATCACCATTAAGTCACAAAGGCAAACACATGATAATTAACAAGATCTACTTATCAAGCCATCACTGAAATGTCTTGGCAAGCAGCAAATGGATATTCTACACATAAAGAATTCAGGTTACGAATGTTATTTCAGATGTAATAACTCCTAGCTTCCAAAAGAATACTATGCAGTACTTACGACAAATCCTCAAGGACATAGATAGTACTATGACCTAATTACCGGTGCGTATAAAGATTCATAGTAGGGATTTCATTGGCCTAAAAATTAACCATCTCCCCCCACGATTGGCTCAAGACAGATTTCCGGTGTGGGCGCTAATTATAACCAGAGATACTACTATCACCCCGAGTATTTCAAAACAGAAAATTCGGGTAATTCTTACTACTCTTATGCTGGATTAGCTGCCTTTTACTGATGCAAAATACCGCTGAGGAAATGGGAAACTACTTTAATTCCTGCTGTTTTACAATTGCAAAGGGTCAAATCATGGCAATATCAGAGGATAAGGCTAAACTCGATATTAGGTAACGTTTCATTGCAGTATTTATCACTGCTACCTTGATAACCATGTTCTACTTAGCCAAAAAAAGATCTTGTAAAATGGCTAATAAAAAATATAAAATAAATGCTTTGATTAAGGTGCCTTTAGTTGTTTTGTGTAGTTGACCTAATTAACACTCACTTCATCCTTGCATTCTCGCCATTGACTTATTGCTACGTAAATCGGCAGAACGTCCACGCCCGATTTAGCGACACGAGCGCCCGGCTATTCACTACTTTGGGCTCCACTCTAATCTGCTAGGTAGTAGCATTGCCCGATCACTAGTCTTTAAATGTGAACTTGTTACGAGCTTGCTGCAATAAGAAATAAAACCTTAAACGGCATATTCTTTAATCGTCTTAAAGTGACATTGTGGTTTTGTAAGTGTTAAGCTTTGACGGGTTTCCTAGTCGTATCAGAGAAGGTGTCAGAGAAATATAATGGATTTGGAGACCTTTTGCTTGACCTTTGTAGGCACACAACCTTTTATTTACCTAAAATTGAAGCAATAGGAATGCGCATCCTGCGTGTCTTGAATATACTGTTCGCCTATACTGAACTGCAAAATGACGTGGACTGCAAGTACAAACGCGAATGGTTTGCACTGTGCTTGCTTTGACTTGAAGTTGTACAAATTTGCATGTATTACATAAGCAAGATTGGTGCCTTAATTTGCGGTGTTAGAAGATAAATGATAATCCCTTAAAAGCATACCACCAGTAGGTAAGAATTCAATTACGATTCAAGAGCGGTCGTGGTAAGTTTGGCTTTCTAATCACTCTATTAACATTCGAGCTTGGTTTTCATTTGTCAAAGAAATTTCGACTTAAAAAGCCAAGAATGCATCAAATAATTGTAGATTATTGTCGCATAAAATAATTGGCTGAACCAAAGTTAGTAGATTATTACATTCTAATCGTGAATTTATTAACGTTTTCAGAATATTTGGCTAAATAGTAAGTGATACACAGCTTTTACCCATCGCCTTAAATAAAGTGCGAGGTTTGCGTTATTCCCAAACGTCCGAATCGTGCACCGAGTAACATTGAAGTGTCTTAGTAGCCAAGTAGGGCACCTCAAATTGCAAATCATGCGATGATCACTAGAGTGCGCTTATGAGAGCTGATATATAGCTAGTGGCATAGTTACTCAAATACTCTAGTAATGTTACAAGTTAACTGTAAGTTGACCATCATTGGATCTGCTGCGTTAGTGTAAGGGGAAATCTTATCCAATTTTCTAAACATCAGGTAAGGCGCTGATCCAAACTGCAGTGGAAGGTGTGGTCCAGTTCTCGGGACCTCAAAGAAATAATGCTGAATTCCATTCATTATTTGTGATATGCGTATTTTGCAACATCCCAGTGTTGTCGCATAAATAAAAAATATTTCGGTTAGTTCCCAAACATGCTACATGATTCTTCGTATTTTTAATATCAGAACTCACACTATCATGCTGTGAGCTAGCTATGACAATTTTAGCATAATTTTACCAACATTCTGAAGTTCACTGTTGCATTTTGAATGCGCATGCCTGGCGTGGCTAGCCTGGCACTCTGACCTCAAATGGCAATGTTGTGGAGCGCATGCTGAGCTCATGTTGGTCCCTCACACGTACATTTGACCAAATGCAATTACGCAGTTAAAAATGGGGTGGTACTACACAATGTTCGCGTAGAAAAGATGATCAAAACATTTGAAACCGCAAGAAGTTACTGCTACAGTGGTAATCCTGTGTACATGGTACGATACGATATTTTTTTCTTTTACTGATTTTTAGACCGCCTACTTGAAACATCGCTATACTTCCCCCTGCTTTTGGACGGTCTTTTGGTTTGTAGACTGCATACATTGACGGCTTTCGTGATAAGCATGGTGTAATCTCTCCTACATCCTATCATTCAAAGAGCTTTTCATCCGACTAATCACACCACATACAAGTGCACAATCAATGTCTACAAATAAAGTGGTACGTGTACTAGCACAAATGACTTGGTAATTACCTGTTTCACATGGTCAGCGGCCAATATGACTTTGTGATATACAAATAGGGCCATGACCTTTTACGGTCCCATCGTTTAAGGTTTATGTCCGTACCATCGGCCTTTATGGGTTAAAAAAGTAAGAACCAAGTGGCATTCCATACAACTCTCCATTCAGGACATGCGCTGGCGCAAAACTAAAGTTGCCGCTGCATTACAGCTTGCGGCAAAACTAATTCAGCCAAATAAACTCTTTAGAAATGAGACGAACTTACGGATTCAGAAGGAGGCTTCTACGCTTTCCTCATGATAAGCCCTCCACTTTTTCGTTGCTTACCTATTGCAACTTTACACATAACGCATATTATTTTTCACCATTATGCTAAGTTTACGACTCCTCTTAAGTAAATTAAGACTTCAATATGGCGATATTTAAAAATAATGTACTTTTCCACGTAAATTTTCCATCAAATCAAGCGTAATTATTTTTTTGTATTTTACGTCCAAATGACCCATTGACAAAATATGAATGATCGTTGAACACGATAGTCATCATACTCTTTAAAAAGCAAAAAATGTTATGAAATTGTGACAAAAAAGGTGTCGAATGCGGGTCATACGGGGACCATAAATTAAACTTCACTGGCATAGGCTGAGGGATTAGTCAGCAGTGGATTGTTATTTAAAAAGTATATATCCTCTACTACCGCCTTGTGAATTCGAGTTTAAATTAACAAAACTCTTTAGGTTTTTAATACGTTTAACCTTTGTTCCCAAATCAAAAAAAGTGAACAGACCGTGAGGATGATCTTGAATAGTAGTGTCTGAGAGATAGGCGATGTTGTAATGAATAACCAACTACGCGATGCTCAAATCAAATGCAACACTAAAAAATATGTCCAGATAAATTAAAATTGCAGATTGTTTCAATGGGTTGTCTTGATGAACCCATAATGCATTTTGATTGTCTAAAATATCAAGAAGCAGTATTATTTGACGACTTGTCGCTTCAGAAAAGGCAGCACGATCGGCTACGATAGGGTAAACACAGTGCACAACCATTCACAACGCTGCAAACGTGGTTTCTCAGATTCTGTTGGCCCCTGATGCAGAGAATTAAGCTGTTGTTTCAGTAAGTGGAACCTCCACTTGGAGTTAGGTATTGACAGACTAAAGTTTCAATTTGTTTGCTCTCATTCGTTTACATTTTTAGTGAGTTGTCTCTTTTTAATGGCATCCTCAAGTGTATGAATGCTACCAACTACCCATATATTCTCCCTGTTTTCCTTTACAAATCACATTTTAGCCAATTTATTCAATCATATCAACTAAATTTGACTCAATTTTAGCATTCAAGTGAAATAACTTCAAGTGTAAGTTAGCTTGCTCCAGTAAATATAAATTTAAAGGCAACAAAAGGTCTAATTGTAACCTAGTCGTTGCTTGATATCCACCCTTGTTTGTCTGTTTCAAGCGAAGCTGTCAAGTCGAGAAGATCGAAATACGAGGCTTTCGTGGAAACTTGTGGGCGCACATAACTTTAGGATTAGACTTACCACTCGGTAAGTAGTAAATATTTGAAGCGAGCTTCAGAGGAAGGGGATTCATTTTTTTGCATCACCGGAGCGTAGAGCATAATTTTAGCCCAAAATAGGTAGCATGTAATTCCTCTTAAAAACTAGCAGAATTTTGGAAGTAACAATTTTCAAGACCATTTCTACCTTTCGTTCTCGTTTATGAGTAGGAAGGGATTACTAGTCTTGCCATAAATTAAATGTCTCACTATCAACGCATAATTCTATTGAACTAAGAATTAACCGGCAAAATTCCGTCATTGTCACTTCCAACTTAACGCTTGGCAATGCGAACACAAATGCTTTAAGGTTGCTCCATCTAATCTGACCGCTGTACCGGGTGATGGCAAAGGCAACACTCAAATTACAAAGTTACAAAATATGATGCAACAAAAAGGCAGCTTTAGTTCAAAAATATTTACGACTGATAAAAGGTTTTTATAAACGTGTATAAGTTATTCGGAAAAAAAACAAAATTAAGGTTTCAAAGTCTAGATCGAAGTCCACGTAGAGTGCTTACCAAATATTTCCTACTTCATTCGTTGAATGTTTTCCTCTGTAAATAGGGAATGTCACACAAAACTTATAACATTGCGCAAAGTAGTTACAGACTGATTAGGCAGTTGAATGTAAACTTTAAAAATATGGACAAAGGTGGAAATTTTGTATCTTGAAATACATTTGCCAAGGAATTAGATCTCGTGCCGAGTAATCGTTGAGTCTCATTTGAAATGATAATGCAGCAACCACCCACGTCCCCTGGGGGGGGGGAAGGTATTTAAGCAAACCACCAATGACGGTGCCGTGATTCAACCCAAGGCTTCTCATCAAGTGTAGGTATGTAAGGCGGCAAGTAGGTGAGTAGATGAGTAAGTGGATAGACTGCATGTCATGCTTTACGATGACTCTGATGCCACTTTTAAACAAGATTAAGTACTAAAAGCAGGTAAATAACTTTTTTGTTTGGTGTGCTTGCGTTAGAAAAGAAGCTAATACGTAACATCTCTTACATAGAGTTTGGTCATTAAGTCCTTAGATGGCGTGCGTTAAACCAGTTGAAGATTTTGATCCTGCCGAAGATGCTATAGCTTTGGAGAAGGCTATGAAAGGAATTGGTAAGTTAGCATAGTTGTCAGTAAGTCAGTATTATGTCTTATTGAAATGTGATGAGCATCATTAGTGGACAACAATGTCCTTATTTTAATATGCAAAGCAAATATAAATGTAACATTTGCCACTTTATTGTGCTCATTTGAAAATAATCCCTCATTCAGCACTAGCCTAATGTAATGACAAGATTAGCAAGCAAATGTACAACAACATTTATGTGTCACCGATAGACAGGGTGCTTGACGAGTTGTGCGAAGTACCTGCTCAACTGTTGGAATAGTATTGCGTCTGGTGAGGGCGCAATGCAGGGTAGTTTTGGTTACTGAGAGCTGAATCGACAACTAAAGCCCCTAAACCTTCTACAGAACCAACTTATTAAGCGCAAAATTTCCTTAATTCAGATTTATGACAGTTTTAACTTGTTGTTAACTAAATATACAGGATCGGATGCTCAAGCAATCATTGACATTCTCGCTCATCGCTCCTCATCGCAGAGAAGAGAAATTGAGTGCGTATATAAAGCTCAATTTGGTAAGGTAAATCCTCGGGAGTAACGGTTTTGTGAGAATAATAACAGTCAAATTATTTCCAGCCTATTATGCTTATATTCGAGAACTGTTTCGCAACACTGCCGTGATGATAGGGATGCAAGCATAAGATTACCCAATCACCAAATTGGAATTAAACTTTTTTTAAAATTTAGCCTTTATCAGAACGTTAAAGCATCTGCAAATTTCATGATAATTAAGCTAAAGGGTAAAATTGCCTAAAAGCGTGCAATTCAATTTAGGAATTTGCTATCTTCGTTCTTTTTTTGATTCTAGGACCTACAAGACGAGCTTGGTCATGAGCTAAGTGGCAAATTCAAACAGGCAGCTCTCTGGTCTTTTGGAGACAAGGCTCACGTAAACGCGATGGCCCTATTCAAGGCCATTGATAGAGCAGGAACCGATGAGCTGATGCTCATCGATGTGCTTTGCACGGCAACCAACGAGGAAATTGAGGAGATTAAAGAAGCATACGAGGATGGTAC